GTTGAACTGGCTGCTTGAGGGGATAGAGCATAGTGCGCAGAAGTACGCACCACCTCTCTGTTATATTGACGACGTTTGTAACAGTCCTTGACAAGATGACCAGGTCTTTTGCAGAACTGGCATACTGCTCGACGATTGAGAGTTGATCTTGGTTTCTCTCTGGACTGTAATGCCTTCACGTGTTGGCCAACATGAGGATTGCTGCCAAAAAGGGGAAGCACGGGGTTGAGGCGGTTTCCTGACACTGGTGGTTTCTAATGCACCAACATATATGTGTCAGCCGACTCAGCAGCCTTCTGGATGTCAGTTATCTTGTTATCCAGTATGTGTAGTCGTATCTCTTCAGGCAGGGACGATAGGAATTCTTCCCTTAGGATAAGAGACCTGAGTTTCTCAAACTCAGAAACTTCTTCAGAGTGTAGCCACCTTGAGAATATTTTCTCCTTTTCAAAGAGAAATTCCACATATGATTGAGTGGGTGACTTGCGGAGTGTTCGGAATTTTGTCCGATAGGCCTCGGGCGTCAGTTCGTAGGCCTTCAAAATGGCAGTCTTGACCAAACTATAGTTATTTTGAACGTCGTGAGAGAGTGCCTGGTATGTTTTTGCAGCTTTCCCAGTAAGGACAGAGCTCAATAAAGCAGTAATGGAAGTTTCGGGCCATTCACATGTCTTCGCTAAACTCTCAAACGAGTTAAAGAAAACGACCAAATCTGTTTCATCAAACTTAGGAACTAATTTCCCAAATTTGGCAATCACTTGCCCTACCGACAACTTTTTTGGATCTACCGGAGAAGTGACATCACAAACTTGACCAAACTCTAAAGCAATTTTAGCCTCTAACTCCTTTTCTTTTAATGCCTTCTCTAAAGCAATTCTAGCTTCTAATTCTATCTTCTCTAGAGGTTTCTCCTCGCGGAGTAACACACCAGCCAACAAACTTTCATCAAATACCCCTTCATTAATAAAATGAACAACAACTTTATCTCTCAACACCTCTGACTTCTGCGTAACAGAATAATCCAATTTCAATTCCTTAACAACACTAATCAAAACTTTTCTACTCAACTTCTCGACCTCTTCAAAAGTAGGATTAGCCAAAAAAGACTCCATAACACTAACTTTCAAATCACAACAAGCCTAGGTTCACTAACTTAACACGGTGCGTTGGGCCGTGTACTTGACCTCCTATCGTGACACGTCTGGCTGTTGACCTAGATAACTCTATGCTTGCGCGCGTTGTCAGAACACTGCGCTACTGGATATAAAAACAACTAAATCCAACTAACCTTATTATTTAACTGATATAACCAACAACTGGAACGACAGACTAAATCTCGGCGAGCCCCCACTTTGTAACGTCCCCTATCTATCAGCCAAATAGACGGTGAACGTCCCCGGATTCTTTTTTCGGGGTCATATGCAAATGCCTTACGGCCTAAGTGGATGAACACTAACACAACGGCACACTAGGGCTCGAATTCAATGTCTAGGGTAAACTAGTGATACTATTGTAATTAACACTCATCCAATCTACATACAACTTTAATCAGCGAACACAGTTGTGGCAAAACACAAGGTTGAACTAGTTAAAATATTTAATGTATAAAATATCAAAACACAACTAACAAAATGTAGGAAAAACACTATCACAGATTTCTACACTGTCTAAAAAACTACAGGCCACACAACACTGCTATAGCTTCTAGAATAACTCAGCGACGAGTAATATTATACTAGAAGCCTAAATCAACTTAAGAAAGCAAGGCACACACAGGACTTAAGTTCTCTCACGTTCAAATGGTCAGAGTCTATAGCCGGAAAATATGGACGGCTGCCTGATCAAGGTAAAATCGCCCTGTAGACTGCCTGTAGACTGCCTGCGACAAGTCTCAAATGGAGACTCACAGATCACTCAAGGCCACCTGAGCTACTGTTATCGTGCTGGTTGTGTTTCCTATGGTGTGACACTTTACGTGGTTCTAACCACTAGGCCACTAGGGGTGTTCCTAACCACTATGCCACACTACTCGGCAGCCAGCCGAGTTTCTAAGCCACTAGACCACTAGGCACCATAGACTCTACTCAGTTTCTCACCGAGTATTCGAACCTCGGCCGCCGCCGTGGCGCGCCGAGATCCTAGCCATTGAGCTATGGGGTAGTCATCTGATTAGAATCATTCAATCAGATCTTAATGGAAAATTTCTATGTCTTAGACCCCTTAATAAGTCAGTGGAAATTTTCCGGTTGTTGCACAATCACTCCATATAAGGTATTATACAATGTCAAAATAAAAATAGAACCTGACTCGACCTAAGTAGGTCACAAAGTCAATCATAAGACCACATCTTTGCACACAGCTTTATAGTCAGTCATAAGACCACATCTTTATAGTCAGTCATAAGACCACATCTTTATACAGCTTTATAGTCAGTCATAAGACCACATCTTTATACAGCTTTATAGTCAGTCATAAGACCACATCTTTATACAGCTTTATAGTCAGTCATAAGACTACATCTTTACACACAGCTTTATAGTCAGTCATAAGACCACATCTTTACACACAGCTTTATAGTCAGTCATAAGACCACATCTTTACAGCTTTATAGTCAATCATAAGACCACATCTTTATACAGCTTTATAGTCAGTCATAATCTTTACACACAGCTTTATAGTCAGTCATAAGACCACATCTTTATACAGCTTTATAGTCAGTCATAAGACCACATCTTTATGCAGCTTTATAGTCAGTCATAAGACCACATCTTTATACAGCTTTATAGTCAATCATAAGACCACATCTTTACACACAGCTTTATAGTCAGTCATAAGACCACATCTTTACACACAGTCAGTCATAAGACCACATCTTTATACAGCTTTATAGTCAGTCATAAGACCACATCTTTATACAGCTTTATAGTCAATCATAAGACCACATCTTTACACACAGCTTTATAGTCAGTCATAAGACCACATCTTTACACACAGCTTTATAGTCAGTCATAAGACCACATCTTTATACAGCTTTATAGTCAGTCATAAGACCACATCTTTACAGCTTTATAGTCAATCATAAGACCACATCTTTGCACACAGCTTTATAGTCAGTCATAAGACCACATCTTTATAGTCAGTCATAAGACCACATCTTTATACAGCTTTATAGTCAGTCATAAGACCACATCTTTATACAGCTTTATAGTCAGTCATAAGACCACATCTTTATACAGCTTTATAGTCAGTCATAAGACTACATCTTTACACACAGCTTTATAGTCAGTCATAAGACCACATCTTTACACACAGCTTTATAGTCAGTCATAAGACCACATCTTTACAGCTTTATAGTCAATCATAAGACCACATCTTTATACAGCTTTATAGTCAGTCATAATCTTTACACACAGCTTTATAGTCAGTCATAAGACCACATCTTTATACAGCTTTATAGTCAGTCATCAGACCACATCTTTATGCAGCTTTATAGTCAGTCATAAGACCACATCTTTATACAGCTTTATAGTCAATCATAAGACCACATCTTTACACACAGCTTTATAGTCAGTCATAAGACCACATCTTTACACACAGCTTTATAGTCAGTCATAAGACCACATCTTTACACACAGCTTTATAGTCAGTCATAAGACCACATCTTTACAGCTTTATAGTCAATCATAAGACCACATCTTTGCACACAGCTTTATAGTCAGTCATAAGACCACATCTTTATACAGCTTTATAGTCAGTCATAAGACCACATCTTTATACAGCTTTATAGTCAGTCATAAGACCACATCTTTATACAGCTTTATAGTCAGTCATAAGACAACATCTTTACACACAGCTTTATAGTCAGTCATAAGACCACATCTTTACAGCTTTATAGTCAGTCATAAGACCACATCTTTATAGTCAGTCATAAGACCACATCTTTACACACAGCTTTATAGTCAGTCATAAGACCACATCTTTACACACAGCTTTATAGTCAGTCATAAGACCACATCTTTGCACACAGCTTTATAGTCAGTCATAAGACCACATCTTTATAGTCAATCATAAGACCACATCTTTATACAGCTTTATAGTCAGTCATAAGACCACATCTTTATACAGCTTTATAGTCAGTCATAAGACCACATCTTTATAGTCAGTCATAAGACCACATCTTTATACAGCTTTATAGTCAGTCATAAGACCACATCTTTATACAGCTTTATAGTCAGTCATCAGACCACATCTTTATGCAGCTTTATAGTCAGTCATAAGACCACATCTTTATACAGCTTTTTAGTCAATCATAAGACCACATCTTTACACACAGCTTTATAGTCAGTCATAAGACCACATCTTTACACACAGCTTTATAGTCAGTCATAAGACCACATCTTTATACAGCTTTATAGTCAGTCATAAGACCACATCTTTACAGCTTTATAGTCAATCATAGGACCACATCTTTGCACACAGCTTTATAGTCAGTCATAAGACCACATCTTTACACACAGCTTTATAGTCAGTCATAAGACCACATCTTTACACACAGCTTTATAGTCAGTCATAAGACCACATCTTTACACACAGCTTTATAGTCAGTCATAAGACCACATCTTTATACAGCTTTATAGTCAGTCATAAGACCACATCTTTACAGCTTTATAGTCAATCATAAGACCACATCTTTGCACACAGCTTTATAGTCAGTCATAAGACCACATCTTTATAGTCAGTCATAAGACCACATCTTTATAGTCAGTCATAAGACCACATCTTTACACACAGCTTTATAGTCAGTCATAAGACCACATCTTTACACACAGCTTTATAGTCAGTCATAAGACCACATCTTTACACACAGCTTTATAGTCAGTCAAAAGACCACATCTTTACAGTCAGTCATAAGACCACATCTACATAAAATTTCCCTTTGTCATTGCACTAAGCTTTACCATTTGTGGTGTCTGTTTTAATGTTGCTGTGTGGGTCCACAGGATGATGGGGAATCTTCTGTGGTCAGTGGACCGCGACCTAGTGTCTACGACAGCCTGCGCCAGTCAGGAGCAGCTGTTGTTGTTGAGAATTTATCCTCACAACTTAAGCTCAAGGAGGGGGAAATATCCCAGTTACAGGTAGGTGATTTGGCAGTTTTCCCAACTTGTTTCTTTAGTCTGAGATCACCCAACTTGTTTCTTTAGTCTGAGATCACCCAACTTGTTTCTTTAGTCTGAGATCACCCAACTTGTTTCTTTAGTCTGAGATCACCCAACTTGTTTCTTTAGTCTGAGATCACCCAACTTGTTTCTTTAGTCTAAGATCACCCAACTTGTTTCTTTAGTCTGAGATCACCCAACTTGTTTCTTTAGTCTGAGATCACCCAACTTGTTTCTTTAGTCTGAGATCACCCAACTTGTTTCTTTAGTCTGAGATCACCCAACTTGTTTCTTTAGTCTGAGATCACCCAACTTGTTTCTTTAGTCTGAGATCACCCAACTTGTTTCTTTAGTCTGAGATCACCCAACTTGTTTCTTTAGTCTGAGATCACCCAACTTGTTTCTTTAGTCTGAGATCACCCAACTTGTTTCTTTAGTCTGAGATCACCCAACTTGTTTCTTTAGTCTGAGATCACCCAACTTGTTTCTTTAGTCTGAGATCACCCAACTTGTTTCTTTAGTCTGAGATCACCCAACTTGTTTCTTTAGTCTGAGATCACCCAACTTGTTTCTTTAGTCTGAGATCACCCAACTTGTTTCTTTAGTCTGAGATCACCCAACTTGTTTCTTTAGTCTGAGATCACCCAACTTGTTTCTTTAGTCTGAGATCACCCAACTTGTTTCTTTAGTCTGAGATCACCCAACTTGTTTCTTTAGTCTGAGATCACCCAACTTGTTTCTTTAGTCTGAGATCACCCAACTTGTTTCTTTAGTCTGAGATCACCCAAATTGTTTCTTTAGTCTGAGATCACCCAACTTGTTTCTTTAGTCTGAGATCACCCAACTTGTTTCTTTAGTCTGAGATCACCCAACTTGTTTCTTTAGTCTGAGATCACCCAAATTGTTTCTTTAGTCTGAGATCACCCAACTTGTTTCTTTAGTCTGAGATCACCCAACTTGTTTCTTTAGTCTGAGATCACCCAACTTGTTTCTTTAGTCTGAGATCACCCAACTTGTTTCTTTAGTCTGAGATCACCCAACTTGTTTCTTTAGTCTGAGATCGCCCAACTTGTTTCTTTAGTCTGAGATCACCCAACTTGTTTCTTTAGTCTGAGATCACCCAACTTGTTTCTTTAGTCTGAGATCACCCAACTTGTTTCTTTAGTCTGAGATCGCCCAACTTGAGCGTACAAGAGAATCAATGGCAAGAGAGCTTGTGAACCTGAGTAACCAGAATGATGAACTACTGGAAGTTAAGGAGGCCCACAGACAACTGCAGGAGGAATTCACAGTGAGTCCGACCCACAAGTTAACTTTGTGCAGGTGTACCTACTAGTACTAGGTGCAGGTGTACCAATTGTATTTGATATTTTGCAGGAACTGAATGGACGCTACAGTGCTATTCTACAAATGTATGGTGAGAAAGAGGAACAGGTTCAGGAGTTGAGGTTGGACTTGCAAGATGTGAAAGAAATGTACAAAACTCAGGTAGGTCTCAAAACTCAGGTGTGTCACATCCACACTCTCACTTGTAACAATGTCAATCATCCACTCACTTGTAACAATGTCAATCATCCACTCACTTGTAACAATGTCAATCATCCACTCACTTGTAACAATTTCAATCATCCACTCTCACTTGTAACAATGTCAATCATCCACTCACTTGTAACAATGTCAATCATCCACAGATTGATGCATTGTTGGCTAAGTAAACATAAATAGCTGTATTAAACAGCTCAAGAACTACAGACATGGGTTGACAATATTATTAAAGTGATTTTATTTGTGTATTTAAGTAAGTAACTGATCAAATGATTAAAATAGCAATTATTGGTGTTCTTATACAAATCTTTGGTATCTTCAGAGAATTATGTTTAATTTCTCTGTCATTACCAAATAATTATAATCTATTATCATTTTGAATACATTGCCACTGTAAAGTTGATGTCATGCTTCAAGAATTGATTGACCTCCCCTATACAACTTTGATGATCATTAGGTCTCACATGTAGTGAATGTATCAACTAGTTCTTTACACTGCATAGTTCAAATGTTATGATCATTACACTGCATATGTTTCTTATGGCAGTGGCTAGTTTGTGCATAACATCTGAGAATGTAAAAAAAAAAGGGGAGAATTTTGTATTTATTTTTATTTTTATATTTGATTTTGCCAGACTGTGATAGTGTTTTAGAGTGAGTCTCCTGTTTGTGTGGTTGTGTTTTAGAGTGAGTCTCCTGTTTGTGTGGTTGTGTTGTAGAGTGAGTCTCCTGTTTGTGTGGTTGTGTTTTAGAGTGAGTCTCCTGTTTGTGTGGTTGTGTTTTAGAGTGAGTCTCCTGTTTGTGTGGTTGTGTTGTAGAGTGAGTCTCCTGTTTGTGTGGTTGTGTTGTAGAGTGAGTCTCCTGTTTGTGTGGTTGTGTTGTAGAGTGAGTCAACTGTCTGAAAGTCTCTGTACAAATTGGAACATTTTATTCCTGGACCGCCATGTACATAGCAGGGTTTGTAACTTGTCTTTCACAAATTGCTTCTTGGAGGGATTGCAGAAATTGTGGGGATTAAATTTTTATAATCTATAAATGCTTGTCTTGATTTTTTTTTTACCATTAGCAAAGTAATTCATCCCCATCCCTCACACAAAAAACACATGCCTTCCACCACACAGACACATCTACCCACCCTCCAACAGACATATCCCTACCCTCTGCACCGCTCATAAAAAAACCACCCCCATCAAGTGTTTATTTATCTTGGTTGCCAACAACTACACAAATTTGAGTTAAGAGATTGTCCTATAAATCTACCTGTCACCCATCCAGATTAAACTAACACCACACCAGAAGGTCAGATTAGAAAGTACTTCACTGACTGTACAGGAAATCCAGTTAGCTAGTGGTGGGATATATTATGCATTGTCCTGCATTTTGGAGGGATATAATGCATTATGTCCTGTATTTAATGCTAAAAAAAATGGCTTTTCACAAAGACAAAGGCACCAAGAATAAACAACTTTATTATTCTAGAGGACACAGTTAGCCATGAAAGAAAACTTTTGTATTTAATCTATACCACAAGACCTGCTGGCAGAGTTCAAGCCTTTAGAGGTAACTCCCTTTCATCTTGTTCCAGCAATGGCCTGGCGTAGGATGGGTCAAAGTTATGGGCTGTCTCTGGGAAGTAGTAGTTGTACACCTCCACGCTCATCTCTTCATACTTTGGTAGTGTATCCAACTTTTGAAGCTGATCAAATTCAAGAAAATATTTAAATCTCACAACAGAAATATATTCAAATATAAACTCACAAGAATAAGCAACGTATCCAGGCATCCAAAGCCAATCAATGGATCAATAGCAGGCAAAAAAAGCAACTTACAAATTGTCTGCTTCCTGCTATCTCTTTCTCACATTTTTCCACCAATGCTTTTGCTTGCTTCACCTTTTCAATTCCAAAAACAAACATAATAATTATAAAAACTTATCATATACAAAAGAGGTAAAATTCTTGAACAATTTCCTCATATCGCCAAACCCCAAATTTTTATACTTTTTATTATTTTTGTTTTGGGGCGCTGTTTATTAAAGTAAAGATTGTAGTTAGTAAAAACTGACACCAAACTCCTTTGTTAAATTTTTAGCAAACGGTTTTAAGACAATTTTTTTTAAGATAGTTCAAATTTTTTACATTTTTGCTGCATTAGGTATGTTTACAGATGCCTTCTGACTAATTTAAAATGGAAACATATAATTTCAGAAGACATAAGTAGTGATCATAATCTTTATACTGTAATAAATATAATGTGTGTAGACATGTGGGAATTTCTTAAAACGGAAGTGGCCCATAAGGTATTAGTTGTGTTTGCCATTTACAATGCAATCAAGACCTCATATATAGATCTATCTTTAACCATTAATGTCCCGTAACGCCCGCTGCCGCCCGACACCGTTAATGTCCCGTAACGCCCGCTGCCGCCCGCTTAAAATACGCATAGAAAAATTAAATTTGTTTCATTAAAATTTGGCCTACAAATCCTAATTTTTAACTAAACAGGAAGTCGGATAGTTTCAGCGTCCTTTTCCGGTCTTATAATTTCAATGGCGCTTTTGAAAGATAAAAAATAATAGCTTCTTTCGATCTCGAAATTTTAGACTCATCTGTCCTTTTTTTAGTAGATTTAATATTAAAAATAAAATAAAACAATGCCTCTAAACGTATCTAGGCATGTATTTTATGAATTATTTATCTTAAACATAACCAAATTGATATTTAACTGTTAAATTCGATGCTTAGTTGTTTAGACAAAAATAAATAAAGTTGACTACCGAAAATGACCTGTTTTGAATTTTCTCCGACATTTTTTATTTTTTTACTGTACTTTTACCGAATATAATATATTCTATTTAATACTGTTGGAAAGCCAGGTTTATTCCCAACATTAAGCAGTAGTTTTTATCTTAATTTTCAATTTTATTTAGACAAAAACAAATATTTTGTGAAACTATCCACTTGATCATACAGAGTTATGCTCCTTACATTGGACCGTCATGGGTGGAGTTTTGGTAGAATGAATGGGACATTAATGATTAAATGAGTTCTTCATTTTATTTGTTTAAGATAATGTGTGTTTGTTAATAAAAGTTGAACATAGTGTCAAGTCCAACCTACATTATATTTTAAAGAGAAATGCCTCTTTCCTTATGATTGGCCAAGTGAGAAATGGGCTCAAGGCTTGGAGTTCAAAGGTTAACAAAATAAAACAATACTGACCAACTTGTCATTTTCCTCCTCAACTTTCTTCATGACATTTTCCTTATCAACAGGGTATGGGATATTCAATGCTTGATACTGTTGATTAGACAATCAAAGCCTTATTACAGTTAGCCATCAATGGGTGACAGTAATCACTCACAATGTACATTTTACTCACTGCAGTTTGAAATCTATCAGCCATAGTAGGATCAGGCAACCTTGACTTGTATGCATTGAAATCAATTTTAGGCAAACTTTCCGGCAAGGCATAAACCCTAAAATAAAATTAGTTTTAAAATAGCAAGCAAATTGGAAGTGAAAATTATGAAAATTGACAATGCATCATTTTATTTTTAGTGTTTTTTATAATATTAATGCAGTTCTAACAGAAACTGTAATAAAACTAAAATGTGAAATGTTGCCATTCTATAAAAGAAAAGTAGGATACATCTCTAGAGCCTGGTTTCTTAACGCTAAAGTCACATGTGTGGTAGCAGGTCATTAGGAAGTGTGCTTGATTCTCTTTATGAACTCAGTGACCCATCGTTCCTATTACTTGGTTCAGAGAAAAACTACAGCAACACCAAGAATTCAGATAGCAATGTTTATGCTAAGATGTATGGGCTTATTGATATCCAAACTAGTCTGAACTCAAGTGACCACTTGACCAAGACAGGATTTTTTTAAAGAAAATCTATGCCCAGATGCTATAATAGATCAAGAAAAATAAAACCATACAACACTCGTGATAGCTTTAGAATACTATAGATCGAGATCTAAATAGAAATAGATCTATTTCTTTAATTCATAAATTTAGGGATTTTGGTAAAAAATAAATAAATATCAAATAAAAATAAAAACGAAGTGACTACGTGTCTCGCAAAGCGTGGCCCCTAAAGAATATACTAAGAAGTGACTACGCGTCTTGCAAAAGAATATACTACGCATCTCGCAGGTTTGATTTACCATCTTGTAATTTTAATAAATATTTCTATCATATCCGTTGTGGTTGAGTCAACAGTGTGCCAGCTGTAGTCTGAAATTCATAGAGTTCAGAGTTTGAACCCGGGGTTAACTCGGCCGGTACTAGTTTTTTTTTTTTACATTTTTTTTAAAAATATGATGCAGACTATGATTTATTATTTTTTTTTAAATAAAATGTCCAACCATCGTCACTGTCGTGATTGCTTGCCTTACGTTTACTATCGCATGAGTGGAAAATCCCACCACGGCACACGGTCGGCGAGGTCACTGAGTTCAGCAGGCCTAAAGCATACGTCATAGACGTTCACACGAGATCGTCTGTCTTCACTTCTCTCTTCCTCCCACCCCCCCACCCCCCCTCCCCACTCAAGCAAATTGGATTTTTTTTAAGTTCACGTAGGATAAATAATATAGACTTAGATCTAGTATCACGCATGCTAGATAGCTAGGCCTAAAGGTTAAAGGACAGTTTGATTTAGCTAGGTTGCTGCTAGATCTAGGACTATCATGATATCATCTGACCCATCTGACCTCACGAACTTTCCTTGACACTACGTGACTACACTGTACTGTTTTTTTTACAAGTACTAGACTCTTAGGTGTTGAAATAATATAGAGATCTAAATACACTTAAACTCGATCTAGATCTATGTTAACATTAAATTGTTACCACGAAAAAAATATCGGGCAGTCCTGATATCTGTTTTTTTTAGATCGCGTGCCACCTAAGGTAAAGATTGAGCGTAATGCGGAGCGAACTGCGCAAAGGCGGCCTTACGCGTAACGCGGAGCGAACCGCGCAAATGCGGCCAAATGAAAAACTAAAACATACATGTTCTTGCGGTTCTTTAGGAGAAAACAAAACAGAAAAGATTTTCTATGTCAAATAGTAAGTTCTTTGATATTGAAGTAATAACTTGCTGATAATATGTGAGTTTTAAATCTTAAGGGTGTTGGGAAATTGCGAGACACAAACGGCGAAACATCGCTAGTCTTCATTTATTGACATTTATTACTGAAAAGTTTTAACTCAGTCGTTTAAAAACATATAGAGTATAGGCCTACATCTACATCAATGAAACAAGGAAACATTATGTATTTTTCAAAACATAAATACTCCTCAAAATGTGAAATAATTATTGAAATTTAAGGAGTCACCTGTTTTTCACATTACTAGTCGCGGGCAATTTTACATACCTAAAACGATAGATTACCCAAACGTGAAACAATACAAGTAACAATTGTTGGTAATCTATCGTTTTAGGTACGTAAAATCGCCCGCGACTAGTAATGTGAAAGACAGGTGACTCCTTAAATTTTAATAATTATTTCACATTTTGAGGAGGATTTATGTTTTGAAAAATACAAAAATGATTCCTTGTTTCATTTATGTACCTGTTTTTAAACAAGTGAATTAAAACTTTTCAGTAATAAATGAAGACTAGCGATGTTTCTAACAGATGCAACCATGCTCATTTACTATAGCAAGCATCTTGTTTAAGTTATTTTTTTGCAAACTTATAGTGCGAGATTCAGGGGAAGGCATCTCTATTTTACAAATGGCTGCTGTTTATATAGGAAATCTTGCTCGTAAACACTGCTGTTTAAAGTTAATTTCTGGCCTATATTGATATATTTTTTGGCCGATGCTAGCCGGAATAAGATACGCATGCACAATGGAGAGAAACTACGACTTGCCTTCGCGGCGATGTTTTCGATGGTACTGCGCATGAGTGTGTTTACAACCGCAGAACCCTAATACCAACCCTATCCCTAACCCTATCCCTAATCCTACCCCTAACCCTCATTCTAGCCCTAACCCTAGCCATATGTCACTGCGCATGCACAGAGCTATCTTTTGCCGACTAAGTGGAGACGTTGGGGAGAAAAATAGTCACTTCGATATTTTTTAGCCATTGATTTAGGTTTATTATTCATATATCTATAATATTTGACACAAATATATCATAATATACTTCAATTAAAGCCTTGACAGTGAGGTAACTTTTTCGCACATTTCTAGCCGCGGGCGATTTTAGTATAATTTTAGTAAATTTTACGTACCCCCAAAACGATAGATTACCCAATTGTTACATATTACAATACAATATGACTGAATATGAATGAAACGTTTTTAAAAAATTAACTAACTTATTTATGAAAGAGTCGTGCTTAGCTTTGACAACTCTAACTGTTTCAATCTGGGCTTTTGGTATAACAGCTGCAAAACGAGCCCAATCCACTACCGATGAGGAAACTCTTTTCGCTGCACCACTAGCCATTTTAACAAGTCCAGTAGATCAGAAAGCGTATTGGACCTTCGAAAGGGCAATGTCAAGAAAATAAATCCTATGTTCACAATTAGTTTTTAAATTAAAATAATGCGGTTGATCTAAATGGTGAACTGAAAAAAAGTCACAGGGAAAAAAAAACACAGAAAAAAGTCAGTTTTTGTTAGGAAAAAAAAGTCACAGAAAAAAGTCACAATGGACAAATTTTATCGGAAAAAAAGTCACAGAAATAAAGTCACAGAAAAAAGTCACAAAAATATTTTTAGAAATATTTTTATTTATTTGTTAAGAATTGTAAAATTGTGTATGTTTATTGCTGTGTGTTGTATTTTTTGATAGCATAAATTATTTATAGACGTTAAAAGCATTATAGTTTATAACAATTGTAAGTAAAAATACTCTCAGATAATTTACACAACAATCGTAACTTTTATTACGTATTTAGTTAAATACGCCGTAGAAAAGTTAATTATAAAAGAAATGTAGGAACATCACTGTTTTGTATATGTTTTGCCGAAGGCTATTCTCTGGTCGGCCTCTCCTCAGTCATCCATGTCCGAACATATTGCGTGTGGTTGACGTTTTGTGTCAATGACAACCTTTGAACCTTGTCGGCTCAGAGGCGTAGCGACCCTTCCCGGCGCCCGGGGCAAACTTTCAATTTGGCGCCCCCCTCGGGAGCAAATTTTCGATTCGCTTCTCCCCCCGCCCCCCCCCCCCTCAAACTTTCGATTTGCACCCTCCCTCAAACTATTTATAATGCAAAAATGCAGCTAAAATTACATTTTAATTTGTTTTTACAACCCATTTTGGCGCCCCCTAAGGTCGGCGCCCGGGGACATATGTACCCCCCTGCCCCCCATCGCTACGCCTCTGTGTCGGCTTTCTGTTTTGATCCTATGCTTTGTTATGTAATGAGCGTGATGAATGTGGGCAGTAAAGGTGGTTGAACTATGCTTAACTATCATTGTGATGAGTTGATGGCAACAAGTTAGATAAACTTAACATTTCAAGGTAATTTAATGTTGGTATTTAAAAAAAACACGATAAAAACCATGGACTTTGGAGCATTCTATTAAATGCTATTAATAGTATCTTTAGCATAATTACAATGTACATACTAAATATTTTTAGATGAATTATAAAAGTTACTATGCGTATACAACCTACAAACATTACATTACATTTAATAAATCCCAAGTTAATTTGCACACTCTGAATATTTAATTATTCAATAACGAACCGTCTCTATCTTCTCTAGAGTCTACCTCATTTGAAATAATATGCAACCAGAAAATTCTCAATATTTCTCACGAACACTGGTTCTGGAAAGTATAATCTCCATCGCACTGGTGGTTCACAACACACCCTACCATACATGAGCAGTGTTTCTTTCAGATATTTTCTCTCTAAAAAAAACCCAACCACAATCAATTTGGTCAGTTAAAAAGCTTGTCTTAAATGGTTGCAAAAATTAGATTAAAAATACTTAAGACCTTAAAGTTAGTCGTGAAAATATTCTAGATCTAAAGTAGACTAGAACATTGACTGTTGCCTAAATATACTTACCTATCTTTTGGTATTTAAAGATATATAAAATGATGCTATTTTAACAACTAATTTTTTATCTGTATTCTCGCATTTCAACGTGGAAAGTGAGATGTTTGTTTGACTAGACTAGATATAGATCTAGATCTATATATTATATACTACTAATATACTTATAGATCTATTCTAGATCTAGATCTAGAATCTATATTCAATATTCCATTTTCTAGTCTAGCAAGAATCTAGATAGATAGATCTAGACGTACTGGACAAAATAATAAATAAGAGTCCATTAGGCCTAAACAATTTTCAATTTAGATCTAGGTATCTCATATCTGTGTTGGATCGGCTGGTCTCTCAGTATCACTGACTGAATAAAAAATCGCATATCTGTCACTCAAGTCACTACTCACTGTCACATCAAAACAAAAGCTAATGACTGACTAAATCTAACTAATGCCTAGGCCTAATATAATATTTATTTGAGGATTAATTGGCAGGTGGGGTTTGGTTTTGGTAAGAAGAAAAAACAGATTTTTCTGACTGAATATTTAATATATTAATTGTTACATAGTAGATCTAGGCCTATTCAAATAAAATATCTTGAACACCTCACTGAGTCTGATTGACTGAATAAATCTTTAATTAAACTATATAAATCATGATGTCATTAAATGAAATAGCCTAGGCCTAATCATTAATTTAAATGAATAACTCTCTCTGTGGTCTAAGTCTAGGGCCTAGGGTAATCTATGGTTTTAGGTACGTAAAATCGACCGAAGTCATTAATGTAATATATTAAAGTACCAAAACACAAAGTAATAAGTAAACATTAGTAAGTGCAAGCATTAAGCTTTTTTAAAAGATGAAGCTGTGAGGTTTCCGTTAAGACTAGGCATTTTGACTTCTGCTGTTTCGATTCGGTATTACCACATCTGGACTTTTAAATGCAGTCTTTATAAAAACTCGCCATTTATGAGGAATGCCGAACCTCACTGTTGGAATTGAGTTTTTAGACGTATTTGATACAGATATTCTAGTTTAGTCATATTATATGTTTCAATGAGAAAATTACCGTTATGACAATCTTAAAGCCGAAATTGTTCGCACGATTCCAATGAGTTTATCTCGCGAACATGTCCCGTACGGTGCTGTCACATTTTAAATAAGTTTATGTTTTAAACACATTCTAAGTGTCTTGCCATTAGCTTTAAGTCTCCATTAAATAAACAAATATTATTATAATAACAGATTTACGGCATTCACAACATCTGTTTACGAGTTATTATACATGTAAAATCACTGAACTAGCGCTTCAACCTTGACACCGCCATGGCATCGGTTTAACACCACATTACCTATTATCGATAAAATACGCGCACTAAAGCCTATGGCGTAGTTTTTTAAGGTGGAAAGAATTTAATTGTGGGTGTCACTGTTTAAACTAGTTGAAATACATTGGTCAAGTTATCTATTAAAAACGATAAGCAAGAAGCTTAGGCCTACATTAACTAGTGTCAAATATTTCACACATATCTTCTTAGATTTAAGGCTTATACTTTATACTATAAATAAGTTATAGGCCTATTTCTTAGTATAACTAATGCTATATGTATCGAGTGATAAAGTAAGTCTGGGCCTATTATTGGTTATGATAAGTAAAGAAGCTTGGTGATAAATTTATTTAATTATTTGTAATAATTATGCCTATGACATTGGTAAATAACAATAAACAAAAGGTGCAGCTATTGACATGTAGGGCTATTGGGGGGGGGGGAGGAGTTTAGGATGATACTAATTAATAAGGCAGTGAATTTAGATTGACAAGAAAAAGCCATGATTATTATTATTCATAATAATTTAGGATACAATTTTTTACATTTAATAATAAAAAGTAACAAAAAACAAATAACAAACAATACGGATTTAAATTGTAGCATATTGCCAATATGTTCATATAAGCAGATAGACAGGGAAGCTGTTACTCCTTCTGATGTAGTACAACTTAACACTTAGCTTAATAAACTTTTACATGAATTTAAGGTTTTTCTATTGATTAGTTGTACCAAAATATCAATAGGGCCTGATAAAGACCCTAGTATATTAAAGTAGTTTCCCTTTTGGACCTGTCAATCCATCATCCATAGAGCAGCTGAAGTAGAGTTTGTCTGTTTCTTGACCACTGCACATGAAGTGATGGTGTGGTTAGCTCGCTGCCCAGCTATCTTTACTTTCCCGTACATGGGTCAGGTACTGAGCTTGGTGGGTGCTGCACGCTGCACAGACTCGTCTGAGATCTGAGCTTAAGACTTGCATGTTAGTAGTTGAGTGCTCTACCACACCATCCCTAGTTTTATTTTTCAGCATTCTTCTTATTACATGCTTCAGTATCAATCACCAAAAGTTTTATCCTATCTATTATAGTAACATTCTGGACATACGTCTATTGCAGTCACTATAATTACTATAAAAGGGTGCAACACCCTTTCATAGGACTTTTTAATTATATGCAGTCATACTTAGTCTATATTTTTTCTTTAGCAAAGTTTCAATTTTAATATTTAAAAAAAAACAGACTTTCAGTCTGTATATTGACCTATTTGGAACAGCACACTTCACTTTAATTTTACTTGATTAGTTCTAATTATCCTTCATCAAATTTTGATTTTACTTTCATATTTCTTTTGCCCACTCTCTCTAGCACTAATGTGCAAAGTTTTATAATTATATCTATGTGGTATCTATGTGGTATGCAAGCCTAAAACCCATCACAAAATTAAATCCGACTTTACAGTGATATAAGTTTAATACATAACTTCTAAATTCATATAAAAAACTATTAGGCCTAGAATGATAATTTGGTATTTTTATCAATGGGGTATATTAAAAGATTAATCTGTGTCCATTTTATCATTCTATGTTAATTAAGAAAAATATCCCAATATGCTTACGTTAAGACAATGCATAAGTTGTAGTTATAGCTCAGGGATGGCTTCAACAGCAATGAACTATTTTAGTTTTAAACTTCTACTTACCCTTATTTATAGTCACATGCTGAAAATGACAAAACATGCAGTCAGATGCACATGTTACTAAGGGCTGAAGTTAGGAGGGAAAAAAGCAAAATCAGCCTAGCACCAGTTGCATGTTCCACTTAGCAGGCCAATGATCTGGTTCATATTTTTCTTACTTGTAGTAACGTATTACAGTGACATGTATCTTTCATTTCTATAATCTGCAGAGTATTTCTACCAACTGTCAAGCTTTTAAACATTTCAAGTACCAGTATTATGTCAGTACAGTACCATTTGAAACCCAATAATCATTTCACATCAATCATTCAAAGACAACCACTTAGACTGGGATCATACACAGTGGAACTAGCAAGCAGAGACTAGAACTAGCCAACTTGATCAGAATGGCATTGGACAATAATCATGGCAATGGCAACATGGAGACAGATTGTAGAAAAAGTGAATGGGTTCATTTGAATGTTGGTGGTACAACATTTTTAACAACCAGAACAACACTTGGACGCGACCAGAAATCTTTTCTTTACAGACTTGTACAAGAGGCCTCAGATTTAAATACGGACAAAGTAATTCCATCTTCTTATTGCACCTCATTGTTAAATATACAATTTTTAGTAGTGTTTGAATACACATTTTTTTGGTTTTAATGTTCTAATATGGTAGGTACGGTCACATTAGTAAATGATTACAGTCCTTGTTGTATATTTGTTTTGCAGGATACAGATGGCGCTTTCTTAATTGACAGAGATCCTACCTACTTTGGTCCAGTGTTAAATTTTCTGCGTCATGGTAAACTAGTGATGAACAAAGACCTAGCAGAAGAAGGTAAGAGTCACAACCTATTAAAGTTGTTTGTAAGCTACCCGAACTAACTTGCATACTATTTTATTTTCCAAATATGCTAAAGCATTGATTGTTTCCATGTGTTTGTAGCTCTATTCAAGCATCTGTTTGTGGTGGTCACAGACCTCTGGGCTAAAACTTCAGGAATTTTTATTTTAATAGTTGTCTCTTCTATATTTATATGTATGCTAACCCATAAGTCTTGAGTTATGATGGACTCAAGCCCCTATGATGTCCCTGAGTCCACCCAGCTCGCACTAACCCATAAGTCTTGAGTTATGATGGACTCATGCCCCTATGATGTCCCTGAGTCCACCCAGCTCGCACTAACCCATAAGTCTTGAGTTATGATGGACTCATGCCCCTATGATGTCCCTGAGTCCACCCAGCTCGCACTAACCCATAAGTCTTGAGTTATGATGGACTCATGCCCCTATGATGTCCCTGAGTCCACCCAGCTCGCACTAACCCATAAGTCTTGAGTTATGATGGACTCATGCCCCTATGATGTCCCTGAGTCCACCCAGCTCGCACTAACCCATAAGTCTTGAGTTATGATGGACTCATGCCCCTATGATGTCCCTGAGTCCACCCAACTCGCATAAAGGAAAGTAGAGGTGGGCGAGCATAGAACTTGCAAAACTGATGTCATATGCAGAGAAACTGTTGAACTCTACTTGACCTGCCCTATTGACCAGACCTTGAGGACTAAAAGGCTATCTTTGTATGTTATGCCTTAAATTGCTGTCCATGTTATGTGTGTAGTATAAAGCTGCTGTGTTTTTAGGTGTGCTGGAGGAAGCAGAGTTTTATAACATAACAGACTTGATAAAGGTTGTGAAAGAAAGGATTGCTGAGAGGGATGCCAAACAGAACCAGGTCAGTTGTCACACACAGCACTCAAATTACAGGTTTTCTGTTGGGTGCTGCATAGTTGTCATACACAGCACTCAAATTACAGGTTTTCTGTTGGGTGCTGCATAGTTGTCATACACAGCACTCAAATTACAGGTTTTCTGTTGGGTGCTGCATAGTTGTCATACACAGCACTCAAATTACAGGTTTGTTGTTGGGTGCTGCATAGTTGTCAGACAGCACTCAACTTACAGGTTTTCTGTTGGGTGCTGCATAGTTGTCATACACAGCACTCAAATTACAGGTTTTCTGTTGGGTGCTGCATAGTTGTCATACACAGCACTCAAATTACAGGTTTGTTGTTGGGTGCTGCATAGTTGTCAGACAGCACTCAACTTACAGGTTTTCTGTTGGGTGCTGCATAGTTGTCATACACAGCACTCAAATTACAGGTTTTCCATTTATATGGGCAGCTCCACACATTTGTTTACCTGCTGTGCTGATGTATTCAATTTAATACAGTGCTGCACTTAGGGTCAGGTGTATTCATTACATGCACCTAGGGTCAGGTGTATTCATTACATGCACCTAGGGTCAGGTGTATTCAATACAATACAATGTCTAGAGTCAGATAGCAATCCACTAATCAAAGGATCATGTTGTTTAGCTAAATGTACTGTCTGGTACCATTTCAGACCTTCATGAAGAATGTGTACAGAGTGATGCAGTGCTCGGGGCAGGAGCTCACACAGATGGTCTCTACAATTCCTGATGGCTGGAAATTTGAGCAGGTAAGACAGCTCTTAGCTCCTGAACCTAAAATCCCCATGCCCCTCAGCTAAATGAACACACAACAGACTCTCAGTGAAGAAATAAACACTACAAATCTAACAACAAATACATAATTTTATTATGTTAATTAACGTTTGTACATGAATTATCGCCAATACTTTAACTTAGTATGCTGGTCGTCCGTGTAGACCCTTCTTTCAGACATAGGTAGAATGCTGATTGTTGGAATTTTTAAAAAATCTTCTCATTGTAAATGATAAACACATGAAAAAATTTGGTTCATGGGTGCAGCCATGACAGGAACTTACGAGTCTAACAGTGCAGTTATAGCATTTTTGTACTTTTTAAACCTCCCATTTTTATGTAAGGACTGTATATCTGGGTTAAGGTGTCTAAGATTTGTCTGTCTGGAGAGTATAGATTTAATACCTGGGCAGATAAAGTGGTACCAAGGGTTCAAAGGGTTAAATCAAAGTTTTCTTATTTACAGCATTTAGACAGTCACTCCATTGATATTTTCTTATTTACAGCTCCTAAATATAGGCAGTCACTCCATTGATATTTTCTTATTTACAGCTCCTAAATATAGGCAGTCACTCCATTGATATTTTCTTATTTACAGCATATAGACAGTCACTCCATTGATATTTTCTAATTTACAGCTCCTAAATATAGGCAGTCACTCCATTGATATTTTCTTATTTACAGCTCCTAAATATAGGCAGTCACTCCATTGATATTTTCTAATTTACAGCTCCTAAATATAGGCAGTCACTCCATTGATATTTTCTTATTTACAGCTCCTAAATATAGGCAGTCACTCCATTGATATTTTCTTATTTACAGCATATAGACAGTCACTCCATTGATATTTTCTAATTTACAGCTCCTAAATATAGGCAGTCACTCCATTGATATTTTCTTATTTACAGCTCCTAAATATAGGCAGTCACTCCATTGATATTTTCTAATTTACAGCTCCTAAATATAGGCAGTCACTACAACTATGGATCTGAAGATCATGCAGAATTTTTGTTTGTTGTATCAAAGGAATGTCCCACAGTGGTCAATGGCACTGATGAACCCTCGGATAGGGCAAAGGTCAGTGGTGAATAATTATAAATTTAGCACATTTCTTCATTTTATTTTTTATTATACCAAACTGGCAAGAAGTGCATTTGGGAAAATAATTGTTAAAAATCTTTTGCAGGTATTACAGTTGAAAGGAACTAGAATTTGATTGTTGATTAGGATCTAGGATTTGATGAAAGTGGTGTCACAGACCCTTGTGTGCTCATTGGATCCAGAACACTGTGCACTAGAGCAGGAAGATGTTACTAAATATAACCACTTACACTCCTCCCCCACCTGGCACCCACCCCACCAGTGAGATGAAGTATTTGAATGTTTGGTGTTGTTTCTCCAGATGTGGTCAAGCACTAACTGTCTTTAGACTTAACCTGTACTGTTAGATGTCTGTACCTCCTTTGACTGGCTCCTACCTGCTGTATGGCTAGCGAAGGAGGAAAAAAAACAATTTGTGATAATCATAATGCTTTTAATCACAGTTCTTTTATCATTTCAAAACATGATTGTACACACACCAAATGAATAACAATCTCTTACTGGGCAATATCTCTTAGCTAATGTTTTAAACTGTAAATTTTCATTTTATCTCATATATCTGTATTTTAAAAACCTTTTGAATCATTTTCATATTTCAGTGCATTTGTTTTTGAATTAAATCCATTGTAAGTCATTTGTTACAGTCTGAAATCCATAAAAGATTGTAATTGTCTTAAAGTTGTTAAAATTGATTAGTTTGGTAATGAATGTAAACCAACTTGACATTAGGTTTTAAGAATAGGCTACTTAATATTTTGTCTCAGCAATCATTACCAATCTTACTTTCTTTTAATCATTACCAATCATTAAAAACATGGGAATTTAATCGATGCTACCCAGACTCTGATGTGTAGCAACTGATGGGGTTTAACTGTTTCATGTTTGATTGCAAGTGTAAAGCTGCACATGATTTTATGGCTACATTAGTGATAGCCAGCAAAGATTTTTTATTTTGATAAGGGAGGATGTTTCTTGTCTGCAACTTAACATTTTCTTGTTCGTAGCCAGTGGTTGGTTAAGCTGTTTTTTTTAAAGAGATATGCAATGTAAGAATAAGTGTAATGTAAGTAACTAGGTATTTTATACTTATTTTGTGTGTGTATCAATCCCAGTATCATTTGACAGAGGAATGCTCTAAAGGTTGTAAAAATTATTTTCTGTGTATATTTTTATGTCTATCACCTTGATAAAAAAATGATTCCTGAGAAAAGTACTTATGTGTTATCTGAATGTTAGCTTTAATGTTTATAGATTAAGCACATAGGAGTCATCCAGTAATGACATCTTTAAAAATCCTCTAGTTTGCCAGTTAAACATGCATTGTACACTTGTAGCCCCACATTGCCTAGTGATTTATTCTTTTTTCTCTTGTTTGTTATTAAATATTTAAAATTAGGATAGAAATACAAAATGTGTTGAAAATTTTTTTTTAACTATTTGAACCAGAACCTTTTTAGGTTATGTTCCCCAATGGCACATAAAATACATGAAGAGTTTGAATGGTTTTAGTGCATATTAAAAGGTTTTAGAAATTATTTCCTGCATTTGTAGTCAGCATAAAGTCATATGGCCCCCATTTCAGTAACCTTGATTACTTACAGCAAGGGTACGAGTTACCTTTAACCCACTGCCATTTAAATTTCTACATTGTATTAGATACTTTTTGCTTGTTGTATAAAGTATTTTAATGTTAACTTTTAGCATGTGGTTGTCTAAATGGATTCTTTATTTAGAGGTCATTTATGGATTACCCCATAACTAACAACCAGAACTATTTTTATATTTACTAAAATGCCAGGCCACTCTTAAAGTATAGTCATTGGTTGTAATTGAGTAAAGTATAATGTACTGGGCTGCATTATAGTATTATGAACCAAACCATATGTCAGTTTGTGTGAAAAGTTGCATGCACCAGCCATTGGAACATGCAAATGTCTTAACAATCTCTGAGTGTGGCCTTTGGAATGTCTACAATAGCCATATTTCTCCTCCCACTCTTTAATTATTCTGTAAAAAAGTTTTTTTCCAAAAGGTTGTACATTTTTTTTTAAAAATGTTTGTATCTGACTCAAAATGCTTAATTAGTTTTGAAATAATAAATAAAAAGAATTTTCATAATAGAGAACTATTGGGGGGAGTATTGAAAAGGATGGCATAAATCTGAGAGGAAGGAAGTGGTACACCTGTGTTCAGTTAACAACTAAAACACAGCAAACTTCAAAACTAAATACCTAAATGAAACAAGTGCTGGTAACTATGAGTCAGGTAGAGAATATATTTCTCATTATCTATAGAATGCAAAGGATGTAAATATTGTAATCTATGTCTATCCTGCCATAAATATTCACTTTATAAATCTGATGAATTGTATATGCAAAGAATTATTGATACTTTTGTACACCTGTCTGATCCCATAGATTTGTCTAGCACTCCTTTTCAAACAAGCTTTAGGACATACCATTAGTATCTCAAAAAAAATTTCTAATGGCACTTATGACAGCAGCTTGCCTCAGTTGTATTTGAAAATTGTTGGGGCTGGCATTTTTTTTAAAACTTTCATCATACAAGTGCCTATACTACATTTTTTTTTTATTGCAAAAATATTCAACCATTTTTTTTTAAGCCAAAACAAACAAAAAAAACTTCAGCTAGGTTTTTCCAAGATAAGACATTTTTGCTGTTGTTTCTTTCAAAATGTGACTAAAGTTTAATAAATGTTTGATGTGCTTCATCTTTTCATTAAACACTTAAAATAGTTGACTTTGTACATGCTTATTATTATTACCCCAACCATGAAAGTTGATTGGGACTCCCAGACATGGCCATTACAGAACTTTCCAAATGGCATAAAATCAGGCTTAGATTCCTCCAACAATAAAAAATCTCCTGCCCCATTGTCAGGCCTCCAGTAGTTATAAATAGTTCACGAAAATGCCTACAACATGACTGAAAAAAGAACATTTATTCATCACATTTGCACTAAATATAAATTAGTTTATTTATCCTGTAAATATTTCAGGTGGAAACAATTTCACCTTTATTTTAAAAAGATGAGAAAGGTATCTATCAAAGATAAGTGATCACCTTAAGAAGATTGGAACATTTTAAAAATCATATACATTTTTACACAACCATGTACATTTTATCCAGAGTAAAGCGCTATCACCAGCTCAAGCAGCAAGATCTGCTACCTGATTGTGGAATAAATAGTTGCAACATGCGTCTTCAATAATTACATGTGTATTGCATATCCTATGACGGTTCAACACTCACAGTATTGCTGGAGCAAACCATCATTTATCTACACACATCCAACTATACAAATTATTTTCATTTAAAACTCAAGCTTCCATATACACTAAAAATAACATTAAATCAAAGTGAAATCACATACATTAATTAAATTCAAATTCTCAATTATTTGAAAGTGTAGATTTGTTGAGTACTGGTGTTTCATATCATACATACACCTTATGGAAAAAGTAAAGCACATGATATGGTCTATGAAGTTATTTCTTGCCATTTTCATCATAATATTTGTTCCAGATTTCTTGAATTTTCTGGACCCACTGTTGAGCATCTGGAGATCGACTTTCAAGATAATATGTTCTGTTGGGCTAGAGGCAAGAAAATTGACATTATTCCCTTATCAAATGACACGCTTCACAACTAACTGACATTTTTACAAGTTTTAAAAAGAAATATAAAGAACTTACTGTATGAACAAAAAATATTTTGAAATTTTTGGCCTCTGGTCGAAGATATTTTGACCTGTATAGACAAAGCCTTATATAGTGAGCAAACAGTGGAAGACCATGACAGGGATAAGATTATGCAATAACATTTTGATACAACATTAGAAATTAGGCAAACAGCTTGTCACTAATGTACGCTCCATGTTGGGACCCTATAAATTCCTAAAACACAGAAGCTACTTTCATTTACTTTATATTTTCATAACAAGTATTATAACAAATAGTTTTACTACCATATTTTAAATTTTGTTTTAAAGTATCCGAGACATTTGTGATAGCAGTCAAACGCTGCAGCACAACAAAAATTTAGTGATTTGATTTTTAGATGGTTCAAAATCTGAAATCCATTTTATAGGAAGTAAATATTGTGTTTGTTCATCTAATCAATAGTTATTCATCTAATCCATAAATGACTGGCAATCTCATTCCCTTTTTCAAGGAACACAAAAATAACATAAGGCTGTATGCTTTTGTCAATCATCTTTTTGACCCTCATTGACTAGAGGTTGTGATAAGTACCCCCTCAGTAAGCAAGCAATGCAGCAGTGGAGCAGATGAGGACATCCATCATAAAGGACATTTAAAACCTTCTGCACTATCTGGAGCTCAGCAGCAATGTCTTCACAAAAACCAGAGTTTACTCAAGTTAAAATATTACATTTGTGAAACTAAGTTGTTTTTTTATTTCTTATTGTCTGAACAAAACAATAAGATCTACAACATTTAAATAAACACCACAGTTGACCACACACAAGCCACAATTTATACTGGGCTTACCATGGTATCTCTCCTTTGAGTACTTTATTATGGGCATCAACATAGTACAAATGTGGTCCCTCTGTCAATAACAACATTCTTTTCCTGGCAAACAATCCCTGAAAATTTCAAATAACATAATGGCATATTTCTTCAAGCAATGTTTTTTCTCACCTTACATTTAGCATCCAAATCAAAATGTATTCCTACCTTCCTTTTGTCAACAAAGCCCTGCCTTATGATCAGGTTGTCCTCAACAAACTGATGAAAAGGGTTTTCCTCCCTTTGCTTTCTTAACTTCTCTTTTCTCTCTTCATCTTCTGCCTGGCTCAATATCCTTATTGGAAGCTCTTCAACCTCAGGAGATCTAAATTTTTAAAAAATCACTTAAAGTTTGAAAAATAAAGCAGGAGTGATCTCCGCTAAACATTTTCAAATATTCTTATTCAACACTATGGGGGTGGATTTTTAATCTTTTTTAATACTTAAACTTTTTTTTAAATAGAATAGAATATAGTAGAAAACGGCATTGCGCACCAAGTCAACAGCAAACAATGTGTGTATAATAGTGCGGATTATAAGTACTTTATAAATTCATATGCATTTCAGGTCAACAGAAATTACTCAAAATTTGATTAAAGGAAGAGAATTAGATCTTTAACTTAGTGAAATTTTGCCACACTGTCTATCTGAAACAGTAGTCAAGTTATAGGCTTTTGAAAAATAGAAAGTAGAGTAAGTTCCACTTCCTGTTATTGGAAATCGCTGAAAAGTTGATATAGAACTACAGATTTGATATAGTACTTATAAATGAAATTTCATCAACCTAGCTGTAACGGTACTGAAGTTATCGTGTTCACAGATATACACACACACAGACATATGGACAAAATTGCAAAACTATGTCCTTCCGACTCAGGTAGGTGTAAACAGTCAAGATTTATGAAAATCTCAATTTTAATTTTTTTCCTCTATACTTTGTATAAGAGAAACTAATGCAGGTGAGTTGTAGTGTAGCAAAAAAAAAAGTCTCACGTGGATCCATCCACTGACTGTCCTGTGATTATCTCTGCCAGACGCTGATCATCAAAACCAGTCTGAAATTTTTTTATTTATATAGTTTTTTTTATAAACAGAAAATATTTATCAGTGTATACAAGAGTCTTATCTTAGAACTCCTTTTAAGAATGTAATAATTAAAATAAAGTAACCATCTATAGAGAACAATTATATAAAATGATATGCAAAATGAAAGAAATATAGTCAGCTATAATCTTGTTCTAAACAAATATTCTTCAAATAAGTACACTGACAAGATCCCACTCCTTTTTAAGTTACATAAAAATTTGAACATCTCAAAAAGAAATATTAAAATAAATTATTGCTTGACAACAACCATGAAAACTAATAACATAACAGCCAAAATTCAATGTTTCTTTTTCAAATAACATCAAACCATATTACCTCAACTTAAGCAGTAGGTAAATGACTAAAGGAGTTTAAAGATGGCATGTAATTATAAAAATTAGTTCAGTTTCAACACAGAATAAGTGGGAAAATGACTAAAGGAGTTTACTGATGACATGTAAATACAAACATTAGTTCTGTTTAAACACAATGAAACCTGGCAACAGGAAATCACCTCATTAAAAAATTGTTAAACAAAAAAAAAAACCAACTCAGAATTCATCAGCTTTATACAATGCTGTGAAGGAAGAATTTCATCAACACTCTTTAAAAACATTAGATAGGCAGATCAAAGTATTTGAAAAGTGTTTATTTAGACTGAGATAGTAAACCCCAGTTGAATGAGACCAAGACAAGTGCTCAGCTGACTAAAACAACTTGTCTAAATGAAAGCCCACCCTCTGTTCCCGGCCAAGAGAAGAGCTCAGCTGACTAAAACAACTTGTCTAAATGAAAGCCCACCCTCTGTTCCCGGCCAAGAGAAGAGCTCAGCTGACTAAAACAACTTGTCTAAATGAAAGCCCACCCTCTGTTCCTGGCCAAGAGAAGAGCTCAGCTGACTAAAACAACTTGTCTAAATGAAAGCCCACCCTCTGTTCCCGGCCAAGAGAAGAGCTCAGCTGACTAAAACAACTTGTCTAAATGAAAGCCCACCCTCTGTTCCCGGCCAAGAGAAGAGCTCAGCTGACTAAAACAACTTGTCTAAATGAAAGCCCACCCTCTGTTCCTGGCCAAGAGAAGAGCTCAGCTGACTAAAACAACTTGTCTAAATGAAAGCCCACCCTCTGTTCCCGGCCAAGAGAAGAGCTCAGCTGACTAAAACAACTTGTCTAAATGAAAGCCCACCCTCTGTTCCCGGCCAAGAGAAGAGCTCAGCTGACTAAAACAACTTGTCTAAATGAAAGCCCACCCTCTGTTCCTGGCCAAGAGAAGAGCTCAGCTGACTAAAACAACTTGTCTAAATGAAAGCCCACCCTCTGTTCCCGGCCAAGAGAAGAGCTCAGCTGACTAAAACAACTTGTCTAAATGAAAGCCCACCCTCTGTTCCCGGCCAAGAGAAGAGCTCAGCTGACTAAAACAACTTGTCTAAATGAAAGCCCACCCTCTGTTCCTGGCCAAGAGAAGAGCTCAGCTGACTAAAACAACTTGTCTAAATGAAAGCCCACCCTCTGTTCCCGGCCAAGAGAAGAGCTCAGCTGACTAAAACAACTTGTCTAAATGAAAGCCCACCCTCTGTTCCCGGCCAAGAGAAGAGCTCAGCTGACTAAAACAACTTGTCTAAATGAAAGCCCACCCTCTGTTCCTGGCCCCAGAATTCTGGGTTGCTGGCTGTGGCAGGTAAATATGGCATCAGACGAGGAGGTGCAGTGTCTGGCAAACTCTCCCAATTGATGCCCTCAAAAAAGGGGTGATTCTTCAGGCCCTTCATGCCATCTGGTTGTATCATACCCAGGCGTTCTGTTGGCTCCAAAACCTTTCAAGATAGAAAATAAAATCTGCTGTCTTATATCAACCAATAGAGTGGAATAAAACGTTAAGAAAAGTAATCATTAACAAATCTCAATTACCAACAGCTTTGCAACTAAATCCTTAGCCAGTGGGGGAAACCCTTCAGGGCAATCATATTCCACTTTGACAATCTTTTGAAACGTTTGATATTCATTGCTGCCAAAAAAAAAAAGAAAATAGAAAAAACTTTTTTTCTATGTCAATTAGAGTAAGATTGAACATTAAGAACTTGTAAAAAGAAAACATCCTACCCTGATCTAAAAGGCATGGATCCTGAAAGACACTGGTAAATTATGCAGCCCAAAGCCCAAAGGTCAGACCTGAGATAAAACAACAATGTAATAAAATTAGTACCCACCCATAGTTGGCTGTATGGTTGACAACAACAGAACTAGTTGTACCCACCCATAGTTGGCTGTATGGTTGACAACAACAGAACTAGTTGTACCCACCCATAGTTGGCTCTATGGTTGACAACAACAGAACTAGTTGTACCCACCCATAGTTGGCTCTATGGTTGACAACAACAGAACTAGTTGTACCCACCCATAGTTGGGTTGACAACAACAGAACTAGTTGTACCCACCCATAGTTGGCTCTATGGTTGACAACAACAGAACTAGTTGTACCCACCCATAGTTGGGTTGACAACAACAGAACTAGTTGTACCCACCCATAGTTGGGTTGACAACAACAGAACTAGTTGTACCCACCCATAGTTGGCTGTATGGTTGACAACAACAGAACTAGTTGTACCCACCCATAGTTGGCTCTATGGTTGACAACAACAGAACTAGTTGTACCCACCCATAGTTGGCTCTATGGTTGACAACAACAGAACTAGTTGTACCCACCCATAGTTGGCTCTATGGTTGACAACAACAGAACTAGTTGTACCCACCCATAGTTGGGTTGACAACAACAGAACTAGTTGTACCCACCCAAAGTTGGCTGTATGGTTGACAACAACAGAACTAGTTGTACCCACCCATAGTTGGCTGTATGGTTGACAACAACAGAACTAGTTGTACCCACCCATAGTTGGGTTGACAACAACAGAACAAGTTGTACCCACCCATAGTTGGCTCTATGGTTGACAACAACAGAACTAGTTGTACCCACCCATAGTTGGCTGTATGGTTGACAACAACAGAACTAGTTGTACCCACCCAAAGTTGGCTGTATGGTTGACAACAACAGAACTAGTTGTACCCACCCATAGTTGGCTGTATGGTTGACAACAACAGAACTAGTTGTACCCACCCAAAGTTGGCTGTATGGTTGACAACAACAGAACTAGTTGTACCCACCCATAGTTGGCTGTATGGTTGACAACAACAGAACTAGTTGTACCCACCCATAGTTGGGTTGACAACAACAGAACTAGTTGTACCCACCCATAGTTGGCTGTATGGTTGACAACAACAGAACTAGTTGTACCCACCCATACTTGGGTTGACAACAACAGAACTAGTTGTACCCACCCATAGTTGGCTCTATGGTTGACAACAACAGAACTAGTTGTACCCACCCATAGTTGGCTCTATGGTTGACAACAACAGAACTAGTTGTACCCACCCATAGTTGGCTCTATGGTTGACAACAACAGAACTAGTTGTACCCACCCATAGTTGGCTCTATGGTTGACAACAACAGAACTAGTTGTACCCACCCATAGTTGGCTGTATGGTTGACAACAACAGAACTAGTTGTACCCACCCATAGTTGGCTCTATGGTTGACAACAACAGAACTAGTTGTACCCACCCATAGTTGGCTCTATGGTTGACAACAACAGAACTAGTTGTACCCACCCATAGTTGGCTGTATGGTTGACAACAACAGAACTAGTTGTACCCACCCATAGATGGCTCTATGGTTGACAACAACAGAACTAGTTGTACCCACCCATAGTTGGGTTGACAACAACAGAACTAGTTGTACCCACCCATACTTGGGTTGACAACAACAGAACTAGTTGTACCCACCCATAGTTGGCTCTATGGTTGACAACAACAGAACTAGTTGTACCCACCCATACTTGGGTTGACAACAACAGAACTAGTTGTACCCACCCATAGTTGGCTCTATGGTTGACAACAACAGAACTAGTTGTACCCACCCATAGTTGGCTCTATGGTTGACAACAACAGAACTAGTTGTACCCACCCATAGTTGGCTCTATGGTTGACAACAACAGAACTAGTTGTACCCACCCATAGTTGGCTCTATGGTTGACAACAACAGAACTAGTTGTACCCACCCATAGTTGGCTGTATGGTTGACAACAAGAGAACTAGTTGTACCCACCCATAGTTGGCTCTATGGTTGACAACAACAGAACTAGTTGTACCCACCCATAGTTGGCTGGAAGGTTATTCAGAACTTCTGGAGATACATATTCAGCTGTACCAACAAATGAATTTTTTCGCTTTGCATCTTCTTTACTATGATCATTTCCTAATAATAAATCAAAAGTACTGATTTAAATTGAAGTTAAAGATTTAGTTCACATTGAAACAATCTATAACTGAATTTAATAAAACAAGATTTAAATTGATGTTAAAAATTTAGTTCACATTGAAACAATCTATAACTGAATTTAATAAAACAAGATTTAAATTGAAGTTAAAGATTTAGTTCACATTGAAACAATCTATAACTGAATTTAATTAAACAAACTACTGTCCTACTATAAATGTTTTCTATGAGACAAACCAGTATTGGCCAGAAGTTTAGCTGTGCCAAAATCTGTAATTTTGATATGCATGTCTTCACCTAACAGGATGTTCTCAGGCTTTAAATCCCTGGTGTCAAATAGGAAATAAATATTTCAACTTAAAACTATTCATTTACAACTTTCTTACAAGTCAAGTTTTACAGATTACTTTGCATACCTGTGAATAATTCCTAGACTTTGCAAATATTCTAAAGCAAGAACAATTTCTGCTGAGTAAAACTTAGTACAGGGTACATCAAAGACTGAAAGCTTGTGGAGGTACATCAGAAGTTCACCATTGCGAGCATATGTTAAAACATAGTCTTTTCATAAGGAAAATTCATAAGGCAAATTTGTCAGTTTATGTGCAAGTAAAAAAGAAAACCTTTAAGTACATTTTAAAAATATACTTATGGGTTACAGTTGAAAGGTTTAAAAACAAAAGGAAAAACAAGGATACAGAGTCTTTCAGAGTCCTGAAACGTGTAGGCCAGCTTGATAAAGAAAGGGTGTTCAAGCTTCATTAGTATTTCCTTTTCCCGCATCACAAAATGAGTTTTCCTTTCTCTTATCAAGTGTTTTTTATCACATACTTTTACTGAAAAAATCATTGAAATAGAAGCAAATAAATATTTGGTATTTTATTAAACTAATTTTTAATCCACTAGTTTTACTGTACAATAAAACAACTAATTATCAACACATCAACTACAGAAGATTGTTCAGTATATCTAAAATCAAAAAGAGACCCAACACATGTCAATGGGGGAAGGGTAAAAAAAAATGTGTTCATTGACATCACAAATGGATGGCCCGTATAGCCAATGAATAAACAGGACCCACAACAAACACAGGTGTGGTGTTGAGTTACATACTTGCATATTCTCTTTGAGTACTAACTTCTTTAGCAAGATACACCTGCAACAGAAAATACAGCATAATATCAAGAACCTTGACGATATAATGAATGAACATATAATCTGAAATAGTTCAAAGTCATAAGAATCCATGCGTGGCAGAAGGAATACAATGCTGCAGTACTTACAGTTGAGTAAGAGCCTTCTCCAATAACTTTTCCAAATATAAAGTCATTTGGTGTTTTCTTAGCTTTGGGCTTAGCTACAGAGTGTGTAGGATCAGACGTGTCAACTGATGAGGACGACTGCTCTATCACACTGTTTGTCAAGGTTTTTTCTTTAGAACTAGATGGGGAACTAGCTTTCTTGTCATCTTGCTGGGAATTATTTGAACGATCCACATTAATATTATTTCCCACTGGAGTCACCTCTAAGGGCAGCTGTGATGGCGGCAAGGTAATCCGAGGTCCTTCAACAAGATGATTAATTAATGAGCCTGGATGAAACTGATGATTCTCCTTATTTTCTGCCATAGTTTCAGGGTCTTGGGATTTTAAATTGCCATCAATGCCTCCACTGCCCTGAGTATTGCCAGTGATGCCCTTATCCAGCAATGAGAATCCTTGAGATATTTTAGCCATATGTGAGCCAGTATCAGAGCAATCTTCAATAGCTGCTGGGGTTAAAACAGGTTGAGTTTTAGCACAGATGGACTCAATGGGTCCATAGATTGGATGCTTATTGTCAACTTTCTCAACATCCATGTTGGAGTTGTATAGATCTTCTTTCACTGAATCAATGTATTCAAAGGATTCATTTAAACTATTTACACATTTTCCTTTCTCTGAGCTGTCTATTTTGGGTTTTAGCGTAATGGTTCTAACATCATCAGTTTTGCATTCCTGTACACTTTCAACAGACTGACTGTGTATATTGTACAGTAGAGACTGCTGCTGACTTATTGGTTCTGGGCTCTCCATTGATTCATGTACCAAATTAGCAAGTACAAATTCTCATTTCCTCCATGATCATTTAATTGTGAAGAGTTCTGAAAAATAATTTTCTTGACAGCTTATCAAATACATTACAAAAGGTGTGTGTGTATGAAGGAGTTAACATGTAGGCCTATCACTAGCACAATACATTTCAAACATAGACAAGTGTTGTATAATACTTGTAATTCAATCTAGTAGATCTTCAATCATGTGCAAGACTGTTTTTATTAGATCTAGATCTAGTACTAGTAGATTTTCAACTTGGAGTGCAAATAAGTGGAATGCCAGTGTTGTAAAATATGTAGGACTAATTCATTACTTATTGATAAATAAGGGCCTAGCTAACTAGTCTAAGTCTAAATTTTAAACCTTAAATAAATTTAGGTCTCAAAATAAAACAATTAATATTTCACTTATATTAGATTCATAGATTCTATGAGCAGATAAGTAGTGGGCCTAAGAAAGAAGACAAGTACTGAGTACTCTGTTTTGTAGATTTAGCCAGTCTAGTCTAGTACCAGATCACTGCAATGTAATGTGTTTCATTTCAGTTCAACACCAGTTGTTCCAAGTTGTCAGCATTCTCAGAATAAATCACAAGTTAAATAACTTTCATCAGGCCTGATTTTTTTGAAAACAAAATATGCTTCGATCTAGATTCTAGAGTAGAATCTAACCATTATATAAAAATAGACTGAATAGACACTCGACTAGAATCTAGAATTGTAAGAAAAGAATACTCTAGATTTCTGGATCTAGACTCTAGATCTAGATCTAGATTAGTTAGATTTTAGACCTAGAGAATAGGATCTAGATTCTCGACTACAATGTAGATTATTTTATAGATCTAGTTCAATATAGATCTAGAATCTAGATCTGTCTAGGTTCTAGATCTAGATTTCTACTATCACTATTAGAAAATTCTGTAAATTAGAGTGGTTTCTCCTGAATCTCTGACTATAATTTACCACAAAAAAAACATGGCTATACTAATTTTTACTTATTGAAAAGTTTTAACAAAATTGTTTAAAAACAGGTAGATCTAGTCTAAATCTAAAGAGCTAGATCTAAATCTACATGAATGAATTTTTTTTAATTTGAAACATAGGGAGGGCCTAGGGTAATCTCACGATATAGCGTCGAAAATTATCCAGTAATGTTTCATTGTTTGTTGAGTTTCGTAAACAGTTGTTACTGTAGTGTAAACAATAGTTTATTTGCCCATTGAAATAAAAAGTGCACTAAATAAATGTTTTAATTTAATCTAAAGTTTAATTGGCAACAATTAGATATGGTAGATTTAAATATTATTAATAAACTTGTGTGTAGTAATTTATGTTCTTTTAAGAAACAGAAAAAAACTTGCAGAAAATTTGCGACAACTAGATTTTAGATCTAGTAAAATAAAACGATTAGATTTTACTAAAGTTAAAAGTAGTTAAGAAGAACTAGAACAATGTTTAGCAGCAGCGATAATTAGCACATACACTTAAAATAATTAGAAATACAAAATAATTAGCAAAACGGTGTTTAAAATGCAACTAAAATCAATCTAAGCACATTTTTAAACATTGTGTATTGAAAATAATATGGTGCCAAATAAATGAAAGTTTACATTATTTCCGGTGGTTTCAGGAACAGAGTTACAGACTACGCTATGGATTTACTGTTTTTTACTGTTGTACCATTCCGGAATAATAACCGATGCTATATCATGATATTACCGGCCTAGATCTAGATCTAAATGATAAATCCTCATAAAAATGTGAAATAATTAGTAATAATAATTAGGCTACTAAAATTTAATGGGTCACCTTTATTTCACATTAATAGCCTCGACAATTTTACGTACCTATAATGATTTTGCTGTCTGTCACTCTATCTGTCACTCTGTTGGGAACGCTTTTACTATAGAGAAAACAAAGTTAAAACATTAATAGTAATAACAGTAATACAGAAAATGAAACATATAGTAGGAAATATTCTAAAGCTGGGAAAGTACACAAAATAATATGACCTCATTGATTCTCAAGTAAACAATAAATTAAAAAGCCAATGCCGAAAAAATACACAATAGTAATGACATCATCGATACTCTATAATAAAAACACTGGCATTACCACATAATTCATTTGTCTAATCTTACAAGTGGTTTGCATGCAGAGTTTCTTTCATGCATCTTCCACCAAAGAACATCTACCACCCCCCAGAACAAAAAACAATCTATATAAAAAATATATACTTTTACCCATGTCAGCCCCCCCCCCTCAAAATGCATAGTGCTTCCTCCCCCCCCTGAAGAAAAAAGTCTGAAAGAAACACTATCTCTATGATTGAGGTTTAGCAAACAAAAGTAGGAGACAGGTCTATATTATAGAAGTGTCTACCTTTAATCTATATCATCTACAAATGCGACCAGTGTTTCTTTCAGACTCTTTCCTGCCCGGAAGGGGTACTTGAAAGTTTTCGGCCACTGGTAAAAGTATGTTTTCTATATAAATTCTATTTCGTTGAAGGGGACGGTAGACAAAATTCGTGGTGAGTGGGGATGGCTGTCTGCCTGGCAACCGAGCCCCCCCCCCCCCCCCTTCCCACGTAGAGTGGCATGAAAGAAACTCTAAAAGCGACTTTTGTCATGTTTGAGATTAGGTGCAAGGTTTAGGGGTATGGCTACTACTATATTTAGTATCAATGTGCAGTAACTACATGTAGATCAAGCTTAAATCCTTTACAATGCTGATTCTGGATAAAAATCCATTTTCAATGTCATTTTTCGTTTCCGGTTAAATTTTAAGTTGAGGTAGTGATTTTGGTTTTGAGAAATAGACAACACTATCAACCTAGCGCTCGATGCATATCTCCCTCAAAGGGCCATTTATCTCATATTTAATAATAGTCTAGATCTATCTAGACCTAAATCTTTAATCTAGATTTTTAGCTATACTTGCTAGATCTAGATTCTATTAAGAATGTAAGATTAACTATTTTAAATTTTAACAAAGTTTTACTAAGATTTATTAAGATGTGTAGATGAGATGTACTAGAAGAGTGGCTGTGCCCAGCTAACAAGTCTCATAGCCCGAGCGTTCAAACTCAAAACGTTTTGACTTTTGGTTAAGCAACCATGAGCTTTACCGACTGGACCACACCAACCCCAAGATCTAGAACTATACTACTAACTAGACCTAGTATAGATTTTGTAGATTCTAGATCTATAGGCCTATTTATAATAATATTAGTATATTAGTTAGTATTTAGTTACTTAGATCTAGAAATCCAGATCTAGAGGTTCTAGAATCTAGACCAGGGGTCTCCGGATGCGGCCCGCAATGTCCTCTCATCCGGCCCGCTGAGATCTTTTTGTCCACGGAAAAAACGTTTGTTGGTGATGGGTGAGGAACTTTGCCCAGAAAAATCAAAGACATGCCTGTAAGAAACTGCCCCCCCCCCCCTCCCCGAACTAAAATTTGATAGTTAATGCGGCCCTCGGACTGAAAAGTTTGGAGACCCCTGATCTAGACTATAATATTAATTACTATTCTAGCTACTACAGCTAGACTCTACTAGATTACTAGATTTTCTAGAGTCTAGCTAGACTCTAGACTACTCTAGCTAGACTCTAGACCTAGACTAGATCTAGATCTCTAGATATAGATCTAGATCTCTTAAATCTTTCGACTTTAAGTCTTTTAGTCTTAGAGATCTAGATTTCTAGACTCCACTTTTACACAAAAATAACAGGGAAAAACATTGTTAACTACTTTTGAAATAATGGATTAGAGTAGAGAAACAAAACTGTGACTTGATCTAGACCTAGAATCTAGAAGTCTAGATCTAGTCTAAGTACTAAGTAAGTAAGTATGACACAGTTGCACTGGTTGACTGAACTAGATATCAGATAGAGATCTAGAGACTAGTCTATAAATACGGGGTAATCAAACAACCCGACTCATTCATTATTTCCTTCTCGAAACCGTTGTGCGCAAGCGCAAGTTAGTTAAGTGTAGGTGCACCAAAAAGTACAACTGGATAAACAGACGCAACAGAACAAAACGCTACATGCTAACCTAGTGAAATAGGGCCTAGTGTGTTGGGCCTACACCAAGAGGGCCCTAATATTGGAAAAATAAAACAAATGCGTTACATTTAACAAAATTATCACACTGATCTTTGAACGAAATAGCCATAATATTTTTCACGTCAAAAGTAGTTTATCACAATCACCGATTAGGGTCTCCATAAATGACGTCAAACTCGTAGGGGGGAGGGGGGTCCGTAATTTTGTGACGGTGTGTGTGATGAGGGGGTGGGGAGGTTCAGATGGTGTGACGTCACACTTTTGCATTATAAAAAGGCAATGTTAGAAAAAGAGTTTTAGCCTTTATTTCGCGATTTAGAAAACGGATTTAATAAGAGATGCCTGGAAGAAACCAGTGTTTCTTCCAGACTTTTTTCTCCGGGGGGGCACTTGAAATCTTCGGGGGGGCGGTAAACTTTCTTCGGGGGGGCGGACACTGTTAAAAGTATATATTTTCTATATAAATTATATAAATTTCATTTCGTTCGGGGGGGCGATAAAAATTTTTCGGGGGGGCTTCGCCCCCCCGAAGAGATGCCTGGAAGAAACTCTGGAAGAAACTCTGACTAAAACTCGAAAGGCAATCAATTTCACGTTTGGGTATGAATGGTGCATATTACACCAAAATCGTTACGTGACGCGGAATCATTCCGCAAATGTACGAGTTCATCTTGTAATTCATCGGGAATGCTAGCAACATCAAGGGAAGCAGAGAATGGGTAATGTGTGAATGCAGACTCTTCTTCTTTCAGCTCATGGGAAATAAACGCCGCACTTCGTTTTCAAGAGATTCAAGAGGCCCAGAATAATCTTTAAAAATTTTATATACCTCACAATCAGATTCATCTATCACACTGCAGAGTTTCTCAAACATGGCAATATTTCCAAGCTTTATTTTTCTTCGTCAATTTTGCAGTTTTGATTAAAGAAAAATTGCCAAGAGATTATCATGAAAAGAGATGATATTCGTTCATTTTCCCCGTAGCATTAGATTAAGCTCATGTTGATGTTCGAATATATCTGCTAGGTAAGATACTCTTTCCAACCACTGTTAGTCGTTAAAGTATATCAAAATGTCTTGTTTCCCTTGCACTTCCAAGAACAACTTGATTTCATCTTTCAATTAAAAAACACGATTAACATCATTTCCTTTTGACAACCAGCGTACCGTAGTGTACGAAAACCCAGAACTTCACTATCTCTACTCATGTATTTACACAGTTCTTTAAATAGACGGGTGTTTATGGCTCCAGATTTAATATAATTTATGACTTTTATTATCAATGGAGTTGGAAGAGTCTTGTTGGCAAGGGCATAGGCCTACTGGTAAATAATGCAATGGATTCCCCTTGGTTAGGGAGTTAAATCTTTTACATGTATCTGAAAGCCCGATTTTAACCCAAACATAGATGGCGCAACATCCGTACAAACCCCACAGCTCTTTTCCCATTTTAGTTATCCAGTTAAAAAAAAAAAACATTTATTTTCTCCATCATCTGAATGAATATAGACTAAGACCAGCAACTGCCAACACGAACGCACGTCTGTTGATTCATTAACTTGAAAAGCAAACGATGGTGAAAGCTTGATTTAATTCGAAATTTGTTCTTACGGACATGTTTGGAATAAGCCGCTGAATAGTATTATTATTAGACAGAGATATTTGTTGCATCTTGACTGCACTGGAATCCCCAAGAATTTATTTCACCATCTTCAACACGCAGCGTTTGATAAGAAGATTGTTGTGTGCTTCGTATGCTACTTCATATGATGTTTGAACTAATGCTGCGTTTCCTTGATGAAAACATCCTGTTCGATCAAGTCTCTGAAGTATGCAACTAACTTCATGCCGACGAAAGAACTCCATAAACTTTTTTGGTGTGTTACGAAGGACTCGTCTCACATTGACATTTAATATTTTTTTGCAGGTTTCATAGACCCTTACTAGGGTTTAGTCTAAGCCCTCCCAGTTTGGGAACGCATGCTCTAGCCGGTCAAAAGAATATAAAACGTGAAAGCTTTTTATGTGTAATGGTTTATCGTGTTATGTTTTTTTAAAATGTTTTTTAATTTATATTATTAATTTTAAATATATTTCCTATTTATACAATCTTATTGTTTAGTAAGTATGTTAAACAAGTTAATAAAAAGTCTAGTGACAATTTAAGCGCAATTTCCTTAATTAATTTTTTTTAAATGTGAAAAAATGATTAGGCCTAGCGAAACAAAACCTTGTAATTGTAACTCCCTATCACTCTCATATAAATTATAAATAAATTAATAGGGTACAAAAATAACGTTTGAATTAATAAGTTAAAAAAAATACAACTATATTAACCTATATCAACGGAAATAGTTTTATTTTAACGAGTAGGCCTACAAGATGCTCAGTTTAAAATATCATCCTAGGCCTACACGATGCTCAGTTTAAATAATTTTTAAAAAAAAATTGTGACCGAACGAAAGGATATTTTTGAAAACTTTCTTCGGCAATATTGTTCTAAATTATGACAGGAATCGATTGGTAAATTTTTCAAGTCGCTATTAAGTGGTCTGATTGCCGAGATATGGAGCAAAAACTGCATTTGTTCGAGGTTTTTTGGCTTTTCCGGGAAATCCAGGAAGGAATTCCGGGATTTTTTGTTGGCCTATGTTCATCCTCGGAACTTGCTTAACATACTTGCTTTTGGAACTATAGTCCTCGATATTGCTTTGTTGAGGAGGAGATACGACTTACATCCATCCAGAAATGACGAGTTAATAATCGCAATCCCAGTATGGAAATTGCGCTAAAAAATGATTAAGAGAAGTAATAGCTTTTTAATTAGTTTAGTACAAATCTATTTAAAGGAGCTTAAGGGCACCCCTATTTGACTATTTAAAGAAAGGGAAGCGTTTTTAACGTTTGCCTATCTTTCACACTACAGCTCATGCATATAAATATTTTTTTACGCAACTGCATGTGTTTGCTACTGTATAAAATTACTACTGTAGTAGATCTGTTTGTTATTAACAAAATAGGGGGGGGGGAGGTCTGGCTTTTTGTGACGTTACCAGAAATCGCTGAAAATTTGATACAGAACAACAAATTTGATATAATGTTTATAAATGACGTTTCATCAGCCTCAACCTAGCTGTAATGGTACTCAAGTTATCGTGTTCACAGCTTATTATCGAAATTGTTCTAAAGACACGACCAAAAGTAGACCAAATAAGCGTGCACGATAACTTGAGTACAGTTACAGCTAGGTTGATGAAATTTCATATATAAGTATTATATCAAAATCGTTGATACGTATCAACTTTTGAGCAATTTCCGATAACCGGAAGTGGAACTTACTCTACTTTCAATTTTTCAAAAGTCTATAACTTGAGTTCTATTTCAGATAGATAAATGAAATTTCGCATGTAAGTAAAAGATGTAATTCTCTGCCTTCTCTTAAATTTTGAGTAGTTTCCGTTGAACAGAAGTAGTAATTTCCGATTTCTCAAAAAACGCATGTGGATTTATAAAGTACTAATAATATTCCGCACTATTATGCACAGTTTGTTTGGCGTTCACTTGGTGTGCGATTCTTTTTTTTTTTTGTACGAGATTCTATTCTATTTTAAAACTAGCCATCGGTACCCGTTACACGGGAAATTCTGGTGACTTTTAGTTCTCTTCTCTTTACAAAATAGGCTACCCGGTTTTTCTTTTAGATATTTACCTTCGTGAGCGGCATTTAAAACTGTCCGGAGGAGGGTGTGGGGGATGTTTGTGTGTGTGTGTAGGAAGGGGGGCTGAGTTTCTTCCAGGCATCTATTCGGGGGGGGGGGCGAAGAAAGTCCCCCCCCCCGGACAACATGGAATTTATATAGGAAACATGTACTTTTACCAGATTATATATACTAAAGCAATTTTTTTATATAAAATATTCCACGAAACAGCCCCCTCTTACTTATCAGACCTATTTTCTTTTAACACAAAATTAAATAAATCGTCGTCTTAATTTACCGATCCCATATATAACTTTTTTTCCAAAAAAAAAATAGCTTCGCCTACTCTTGTTCTAATTTGTAGTACAATCTTCCTAACAAAATAAAACTATCTAGATCTAAAAATATATTCAAAAGTAAACTAAAACAACAATTATTTAATGACCTCTCTGACTCATTGAAACATTTCTCATTCATCTATTATATTCTTATTTTATTTCATCTTGTATTATAACTATGTAATATTATTTCTTTATTCCACATTTTTAGTGCTATGTTACTGCTATGTCGTTACTATGCTATTGCTTTTTAAATGCTGTTATTAAATTGTTGTTTTTATTTGTTAATTTTAAAACAGCCAATGTGAAAAAAGGCCTCGATCGTGCCTACTATTGTTACCGTAATTGAATAAATAAAAAAATAAAAAAAAATAATGTGTCCGCCCACCCCCCTCGGAAAATGTTGACCGTACCCCCGAAAATATCAAGTGCCCCCCCCCCCCCCCCCCCCGGAGAAAAAAGTTTGGAAGAAACACTGGAGGGGGGAATTGGAGTAGCGGATACTGGTTTTTCTATATGAATTTCTTTTTTTCTTTTTTCAATTTCGTTCGGAGGTGAAAGTGGAATAAACGATATAGATGTCTGAAGAAAATGTATAAATCTACGTAAAGTGAGTAATGAAATGAATTGTAATTCAGCTTTTAAACAAGTCATTATCGGAAACTTAGGAAAAGAAACATTTTATTGATCAAGAGCATCGGAATGAAACATTGTTAAGATTATGAAAAAAGGGTTTTGTTTTATTACTGTCTATGTTTATACTTGTTTAAAATAACAGACTACCAATATCTATTAGAAAAATTAAAACCAAATTATATACAGTATTAGTCAATAAATGCACTCGCTGATTAAGAGACTTAAAATTAAGAGACTTAAAAGATTTTAATATATATATATATATATATATATATATATATATATATATATATATATATATATATATATATGCATGTATGTATGTATAGTATATAAATGTATGTATGTATGTATGTATGTATGTATGTATGTATGTATGTATGTATGTATGTATGTATGTATGTATGTATGTATGTATGTATGTATGTATGTATGTATGTATGTATGTATGTATGTATGTATGTATGTATGTATATGGGTGTGTGTGTGACTGACTTAAGTTGAGTTTTGATGATAGTTTATAGAAGTTGCAAATTAGTTTAGTCTAGTTTTTATTTTATTTTCTATCTTTGGATACAATTCTATGCTCATTGACTCTTAATGATTTTTGTTTTCGTATTACGCAATCGAACATTATGCTTTAATGCGAGAGGGTTTTTTTTCTGAATGTTAAATGATTTATCTACTCACTATTTACATTGGCGAAAAAACGCCCCCCCCCCCCCCACACACACACTTCTTGGAAAAGGCTGGTGAGCGGTTTTTGCAGGTCACTGACTCTTAAAAGGAAGCTGTAAGTCGCGAGAATTGAGAATATGACGGGAGCCCATATGTCGTGGCCCTTTTGTCGGGGCCATTTTTACTGGGTCGTTTTGTCGGGGCCGTTTTGACAGTGCACATCTTTAATACACGCTAAACTAACTTAGTACTACATTAGATTATTTGAACATGATAACCGACAAAAGTCTTAATGATATAGATCCAAGTACCTACGTTTGTTAAAATATGTGTCAAATCAACGTTTTTTTCTCTGCAGTACTTCCTCTTGAACTAGATACATTTGGCAGTTGCTGGTCAGCGGGTCTGGAACTACTATCGAATATCGAATACTGCACACCCCCCCCCCCCCCCCCCCCCCAAATAAATAATGTACTAGCCTACATCTAGAATTGTTATTACTTTTTTTGTGGCTTGAACAACAAAAGTAAAAACTTTGAATACAAAACTGATTAAAGCGCACCGCTTAAATATTTTGCTTCATAAATATTAGATCTAGAATCTAATACTTTTCAAATTATCAATACATATACCATATGCAATTTTGTTCAAAAGCCTTAAAATATAAAATGTTGCATGCGTATGTTCGCTATGCTTAAGTTTAATTAAAATAAATTCAACAACTCAATTTGGCTGTAGCTATCGGCAAACATCTTGCGACCTGGCAAGAAGTCATCCGGGCCGTAATCAAATATGGCTTCCTATATTTACATGTATTTTGCATCTGAAGCAATATTTCCGTGTTGAAAGAACTGATTAAGCAGTCATAACAAAAATATTTAGAATAATTAGTCTGTTCAAGTAAATACCATAAAATACAAGGGTGACAAGGTGAGGTCGTTTATTTATCAAAATCTAGATCTAGACCTAGATCTAGATTAGAATCTAGGTTCTAGAGTAGATTCAGTAGGCCTAACTTTAAACTTTAAAGTTTAACTTTAGCTTTAGTTTTTTTAGGGTAATCTATCGTTTTACGGTTTTAGCCCTTATGGCCTTGGCCTTAAGGCAAGCCTTTAGGTACGTCAAATCGTCCGATTCTAGTAATGTGAAAAGAAGGTGCCTCATTAAATTTTAGTAATTATTAATTTATAGATCTATAATTATTTCACATTTTAAGGAAGATTTATGTTTTGAAAGTTGCTAAAATTGTTAAAATGTTTCAAAGTTTCAATCTTTCATTCATGTTCCTGTTTTTAAATAATTGTATTAAAACTTCAAAGTGACTTCTCGGAAGAAGATTTTTCTCCCCAACATCTCCACTTAGTCGGCAAAAGATAGCTCTGCAGTCTGCGCATGCGCAGTGACCTATGGCTAGGGTTACGGCTAGAATGAGGGTTAGGGGTAGGATTAGGGTTAGGTTAGGGATAGGATTAGGATTAGAGTTGGTGTTAGGGTTCTGCAGCTGTAAACACATGCATGCACAGTACCATCGAAAACAATGCTGCAAAGGCAAGTCGTAGTTTCTCTCCATTGCGCATGTCTATCGCATGCGTATCTTATTCCACCTAGCATCAGCCTTAAAACTTTTCAGTAATAAATAAAGACTTGTAATGTTTTCATCAGATGCAACAAAGCTTGTTTACTTCAGCAGCCATCTTGTTTAAGTTTTTTTTTGGTAAAAAATATAGCGGGAGATTCAGGGGAAACCACTCTATGTTACAAATAGCTGCTGTTTATATACCAAATATTGCTAGCTAACACTGCTGTTTATAGTAACTTTTTGGCCTATTTTGATATATTTAGCCATTGATTTTGGTTTATTATTCATTTATCTATAATATTTGACACATATATCACAATATACTTCTTTTAAAGCCTTGACAATTAGATAACTTTTTCGTACATTACTAACAGCTGGCGATTTTATGTACCTAAAACAATAGATTACCAACTTAAGTAACTTTAGTTAAAGTTGGATCTCCAGATCTATCGTTCTAGACTTACTAATAATTCTAACTAATACTAGACTTAGACTCTAGATCTAGATCTAGAGAATAAGAGATCTAACTACTAACTAGAGATCGTGTTAGTAGTAGTAGTAGATCTCCATATCTATCGTTCTAGACTTACTAATACTAATACTAGTATACTAGACTCAGTGGCGTAGCGAGGTTGGGTGTCACCGGATGCGGCACTTAATGGTGTCAACCCCCAGAGGCGCAGCGACCCTTCCCTGGGACAAATTTTCAATTTGCACCCCCTCAAACTTTCGATTTGCACCCCTCCTCAAACTTTTGATTTGCACCCCCCCCCCCCTCAAACTTTTGATTTGCACCCCCCCCCCCTCAAATTTTTCTCTCTATATTTTGCTATTTTTTGCCTTGGTGTTACCCCCTAAATGGTCTCTCACGTCTCTAGTGATTAGTCGAGCTAGCTGCTAGCAGTAGTTAGATCTAGATTAGTCTGATTAGAATTAGATCACAATCTTTAACTCTTAAACCTATTTGGACCCAGAATAATTACAAAAATGTAATGAATAAAACCTGAATAATATGATTACCTGGCTGGCACAGCTCACCACATGAGTATTGAACAGAACAGGGACGAACAGGATAGAGTACAAAGTACAAATCACATTTACCCCATTCATCCCTTTACAAGTTCACTTCAGCGCTAAATTACGAGGAGGGTGCAAAACATGTCTGTCACGTGAGCTTGGGTGAAGGTAAAATGTGAAGATAGCAAAAATAATTATACAGCAACCTATTTACAATAAACAACTTTCATACAAACTTCGTATTGTTATCAGTGTTTCTTTCAGGCATCTCTTGGGGGGTAGGGTAGGGGGGCAAATTAAAATATATAGAGAAAAATATATACTTTGACTCGTGTAAGGATCGGAAGGTATTTGGCCTTACATTAAACATGTGGTTGAATGTTTCTCTCTGTGGCGAGGTATATGATCTCACAATTACCCAAAGCACATTTGTGATATTGCTATTGCTCAGGCTATTAGTTTTTATATGCACTGTCTGTGACCCCTCAAACAGTGATATTTTTCTCTTGCAGACAAGGAAATTTGAGCGGGCGAGCAGGGGCGAAAGTTTTAGAATTTTAAATATATGTTTAGATAAAGATTTAAGAAAAAATCTTGTCTAAAATAATATTCTCTTTATGAACTCAGAGTAAGCTGTGGACAGAGATTTTTTCTCCTGCTGACAAACAGGCGATCCTAGTGGCAACGATGTCAAGATTTTTTAATATTTAAAAACAAATCTAAACTAGATCAAAGAAAAAAAAAAGAACAACATAGTTAGGCCTACAACACTTGTTTTGTTTAGATCTTTTCTTCTCACACATCTGGTGAAAAAGCAAACCACCTAAAGCATGAATCAAAAAAATTTCTTGCAAACTGTGTCTTGCCATTTTGCGATTAAGAGTCTCCCAATTTTCCAACACCTGACTTTTTCATGTGTACTTAATGAACATTGCCATTTGAATGAATTGTAACATCCATTGGAATCAAAAACAAAAATATAGGCCTATTCGATACAGACATTTTGAGTTATTTTCATTTTTGATATTAGCTTCCATTTAACATACTGAAATCAACCTAATCATTATACCAATTGTTTGTTGAAACAGCACAGCTATCGACCTTTTCCATTTTGAGTTTAATTTCAGCTTTAATTTTAAATTACGCCGCTTGACATTTGGTTCACGTGATAAATAAAGTTATAATAATTAAAGAAATGAGCTGTGGTGAACCATGTCACTTTGTTGTTCATCATCTTTGGATTAGCTTGTCAGTTATTTCCCCTGAAAATTGCTGGTGAAATGCTTACACTTACCAAATCTGGAATGTTTTCAAAAACTATTACATTCAGTAATAGTTGCAAGTCTAAGTTGAAATTTAAGTCAGTGTTTACTTGAAGTTGAGCATTTATAAGTTACTTTTGACACTTTTGTTTTAAAAACAGTAGTTATTTCAAGTTGAGCAGTTACAAATAAAATTCTTGGTACCCTCAAAATTATTTCCATCTTATATTTGTTGTAATATCAAATGTGAAATATTTGAAATGTATATATATATTATTCCAACCTTTAGATATATATAATGTGTATTTATTTTTCCAAAATTTTCAAATGTCACATATTTGAAATCTATCCAAGCTTTAGATATTTGAAATTTTTTTCCAACAGCTGTGTAGTTATTATAAAATGTACTGTACCTAAATGACTGTCCTTGTTTTTCAGCACCCATAAGGCATGAACTCAAATTATTTACCTTCTAGTCATCTCTAGGTAAGTCTTTCATTACTTGTTTGGTTTAGTTATACACTTATTTTATCACACAAAACAAAATACAACACAAAATATACACACAACACAACCGAAAACAAGAAACACAACAAAATCTATGTTGTAGTCCTTGTAAAAAAACAATTTGACATAATCGAATATTAATTAAGACAAGCAAACTACAGTAGGGGAAATAGTCCCTCTCTTAATACAGAAAAAGTGTATAGGTCTACACATTTACTTGTAATTGTCAACTAAATCAATAACTTTTATGTACAGTGTTTTTATATTGTTTGAGCTAAATCTACCAGAGCTATTTAAGTATATGTTGGTTTAGTACGTCAGTACATGCTGATCATCTTGACCCAAACAAACGTTCTTGAAGTTGTGTGAGAATGTGTTTATTTTTCTGTGCATTCATTCAGCTTCCTATCCCCGTATTTGCATAGAGTTTTTAATACAATCCACTTAATAATATGTCCATCTATACAAGATGCTTTTGGAAAATGTTCTAGATCAGCTGACATCAGTGAGATGTGTTGGTCTTTACAAGTGGTTCACCTTTATATAGTGAGATGTGTTGGTCTTTCCTAGAGGTTCACCTTTATATAGTGAGATGTGTTGGTCTTTACAAGTGGTTCACCTTTATATAGTGAGATGTGTTGGTCTTTCCTAGAGGTTCACCTTTATATAGTGAGATGTGTTGGTCTTTCCTAGAGGTTCACCTTTATATAGTGAGATGTGTTGGTCTTTACAAGTGGTTCACCTTTATATAGTGAGATGTGTTGGTCTTTCCTAGAGGTTCACCTTTATATAGTGAGATGTGTTGGTCTTTACAAGTGGTTCACCTTTATATAGTGAGATGTGTTGGTCTTTACAAATGGTTCACCTTTATATAGTGAGATGTGTTGGTCTTTCCTAGAGGTTCACCTTTATATAGTGAGATGTGTTGGTCTTTCCTAGAGGTTCACCTTTATATAGTGAGATGTGTTGGTCTTTCCTAGAGGTTCACCTTTATATAGTGAGATGTGTTGGTCTTTACAAGTGGTTCACCTTTATATAGTGAGATGTGTTGGTCTTTCCTAGAGGTTCACCTTTATATAGTGAGATGTGTTGGTCTTTCCTAGAGGTTCACCTTTATATAGTGAGATGTGTTGGTCTTTCCTAGAGGTTCACCTTTATATAGTGAGATGTGTTGGTCTTTACAAGTGGTTCACCTTTATATAGTGAGATGTGTTGGTCTTTCCTAGAGGTTCACCTTTATATAGTGAGATGTGTTGGTCTTTCCTAGAGGTTCACCTTTATATAGTGAGATGTGTTGGTCTTTCCTAGAGGTTCACCTTTATATAGTGAGATGTGTTGGTCTTTCCTAGAGGTTCACCTTTATATAGTGAGATGTGTTGGTCTTTCTTAGAGGTTCACCTTTATATAGTGAGATGTGTTGGGTGCAGGTTGAAAACTACCTGTAAAATCAACAGCCAATTAACCTTGTATTAAGATGCTTTTAGCCCTTCTTAATTCTTAACACCATAACAACCTGTTCATAATGAAATTAATTTTAAAAAGGCTTTAATTAAGTTTCCACTTTGGGCTACTAGAATTAATTTGATTAAAAATGTAAATTAAATGACCAATCTTTAGTGTGGCTTATAATCTGGTTACTCTGATTAAATGACCAATCTTTAGTGTGTCCTATAATCTGGTTACTCTGATTAAATGACCAATCTTTGTGTTGCCTATAATCTGGTTACTCTGATTAAATGACCAATCTTTAGTGTTGCCTATAATCTGGTTACTCTGATTAAATGACCAATCCTTAGTGTGGCCTATAATCTGGTTACTCTACTTTGAAGCTATGACAAGCACCATCTATATACTACTAAAAGTCAAGTTTGTTTACATGGTTGAATATTTATTTTTTTGTTTGTTTGTTTGTTTGCCTGATTGACTATCTCGCATGGTTGCACTCATCGTGGAAAGCTGTAAAATAGTATGTAGGTAGAGAAAAAATTTGTTTTAAGACAGACTGTTAATCACACATTTATTTAAAGACGTTAATTAATTTATTGATTTATTCATACGCAGAGTAACCCATTTTTTTTAAAAAAGATTAAAACGACCACTACACTCGGCGGGACCGTGACGTCACAGGTTTTTGTTTACTCTTTAGTACAATAAAATGGCGGCGTCTATCGAAGAAAATTGTGTTCCCATTCACAAGTTTAACGCGTTCTAAATCTAATCATTCTGTCGGTCATAACTTTAACAATACGTCCGTTTGCTGTATTTATTACGTTCCAACACTTATATCAATTTTAAACTGTCTTTTTTCATTTAGTTTTACAATAAATTTCTCTAGATCTAAAGATCAGCTGTCGAAGGAAAGTTATGAATCTAGCCTAGATCTAGATCTAGATCTAGCCTAGATCTAGGTCACTAGGACTCAATGTAAATTCTAGATCTAGACTTAATGTAAATTCTACATCTAGAATCTATTTCAGGCCTTAATACATCTAGAATCTATTTCAGGCCTTAATTATTTTATATAAATCTTTGTTTGGCTAATTTAAGATAAAATTTAATTTGAAAGTTACTAGATTCTACTACTAGACTTAGATCTAGATCTATGCGCGGAGACTCAAAAGTATAGTATAAAAATTCATTTGTGACGTCACGAGTAAATAGCTAAGTTTTGTAGCGTAGTCCGCTCTCATGCGGGTGGTACAGGTTCTAGACCAATATGTCAATGAAATTTTTTTTCAATTTTTTTTTTTTTTTTTTAGATGTGAATGATAAAGTTGCCTATCTGAACTTGGCAGGGAATACAGGGCAGGTGAAGTAGAGTTCATCTGTTTCTTTGTCCTAAGCATATGAAAGGATAGTGTGGTCAGAGACATGCTCGGCTGGAATCGTTTTTTAAACGATAAAAACATGTTGTCTGAGACTTGGCGGGACACTGGGCAGGTGAAGTAGAGTTGAGTAGGTCACATGTGACGTCAGTATATGAAGGGATAGTCCGAAATCGGTGTTTTCGGTGTTTTTAAAAGATAAAAAACATATTTTTGAATGTGGGGTCTGTTTTTGTGACGATAAGTGACACTGCAGTAGCGTAGCGAGGAGGGGGGGGGGGCGGGAGGGGAGGCGGGGGGGGGGGGGGGAAGGGGAGGCCGGGGGAGGTGGAGGGGGGGCGGGGGGACATATGTTGGGGCGCCAAAATGGTTTGGAAAAATAAATTGAAAGGTTGAGGGGGGTTCAAATCGAAAGTTTGAGTCGGGGGGGGGGGGGTGCACATCAAAAGTTTGAGGGGGGGGGGGGGGTATGAAAAATCGAAATCTTGGGGGGGGGGGGTTAAAGGTTAAAATCGAAAAGTTTGTCCCCGGGCGCCGGGAAGGCTCGCTATGCCTCTGAGTGACAGACGTGATGTTTTTTGATGGATGACCCCCCGAAACCCACAGTTATCCAACGGATGACGGGTATTCTAGTTGAGATGTTATAATTACAATCAAAGATGATACACTTTACTTAAAACAAATGGTTACTTTGAAAACAAGTTTGCTATTTGTTACACCAGTTTTATGACTGGAGCTTACCTATATCTTACTTTTGGGGTCATTGTCCTTATGTCGCTCTACCTGTAGCAATAGTATTGGGGATATACTAAGATGACATACACGTCCCAATAGTACCAGCATATAAGTCCTTACAGTGCCTTCATACTTAGGTTTTTGGCTAAAAAAAAACAAACTCATGCAAGTAAGGTATCTCTCACATGTTACCATGTCCCACCAGAGATTCTTTTGTTGTATATAGTTGTACATCCCTGTTTTTTAAACACATAGGACAGTGTGTGTGTGCTATTGTTTATTCTCAGTGCACATGCATTTAACATTGACCCTCCCCCCACCACTCACAGCCCCCACCCCGGCTGATCGTTAGGTGAGGTACGTTAAAAAAAAGTCGAACACTTTCTCTTGATTGCTCCCCCCCCCCCCCCCTGTTTTTGTTTTGGCCAACAGACGAGCGGGCCAAGTTCCACCACCTTCTGGTTGCTTATTTCCCCTGACTGCTGCCTCAGCATTCTCTCCTAGATGTTTGTTGTACTATGTTGTTTGATGCTTCTATTTTTGCTCTCTAGTTCATGTATTTATGCACCTTGTATTTCTGCAACTTGCATTGTCAAGGCTTGTAATGTCCAGGTTTTATGCTTGTAATGTCCATGTTTTATGCTTGTAATGTCCATGTTTTATGCTAGTAATGTCCATGTTTTATGCTTGTAATGTCCATGTTTTATGCTTGTAATGTCCATGTTTTATGCTAGTAATGTCCATGTTTTATGCTTGTAATGTCCATGTTTTATGCTAGTAATGTCCATGTTTTATGCTTGTAATGTCCATGTTTTATGCTAGTAATGTCCATGTTTTATGCTAGTAATGTCCATGTTTTATGCTAGTAATGTCCATGTTTTATGCTTGTAATGTCCATGTTTTATGCTAGTAATGTCCATGTTTTATGCTTGTAATGTCCATGTTTTATGCTTGTAAACTAGAATTTCCCCGCCTACAAATTTACCCATCTACCCCCCCCCCCCCCCCAACCAGCTACACGAGTTTGTTCCCTTATTTAAAGGATACCAGAGTTTTATCTCCCCCCCCCACCCCCCTTCGACTCACCAAAAGTATTTCAGTTTTCCCGCCCCCCCCCCTTATTCTACAATGTACTTGAGCTCCCCCACCCAAGCGCACCTGAGTTTGTCGCCCCCCCCCCCCCACCCTCACTGGATACGAGTGCCATCTAGTTCTGAAATAATGAGCTGAGCCGTTTTTGTGCGTCTCAGTGCCGTGTAGATCTGATCATCAACTTGACTACAGGCAAAAACCTGCATCATATACTACGTAGTTCTGTCACTCAGTAGAAAATATTGTGGGTAGATTTGAGCATTTGAAAGTATCAGAGCAATAGCTGGTGAATATTATCCCCTGCCCCCGCCGCCACACCTCCTACCC